GAAGATGCGGCATATCTTCTTTTTGATGTTCTCTGTTCCTAATGGTGTGGTGTTTGAAATGGCAAGTCCGTCTTCTGGATAAAGTCATATGTCTGTTGTGATGTGTTGTAGTTGAGACAGGAAGTGGCTTCCTTCAAGTTCGTATGTCTCAGCACCGTTGAAGCTGCCCATTGCGACGTCGAATGTAGAGTTGTTGGTTTTGCCAGAGTTGTTGGTTGTGTATGAGAAATGAATTCTTGGCGTGTATAATGATGTTTGCTTTTGGCGTTTGTGATGTTGTCGTAGGTTGAGGCGAAATCCAGTGCTTTGTTTAGTAGGTCTTGGTTAATGAATGGATAGAAGTCTACGATGTCAAAGGATATGAAGGTGACGTTTTTTGTGTGTTTGATGGATTTGAACCACTGGATCACGGATGATGAATTTTTACATTGGTTGAAAGAGGTTGTTTTTATGATGTTGCTGTTGATTCTGTCCAGTATTTTCTTGCTAATTTTACCAACTTCGGATTTTGTTGGGTTGATAAGTCGGCAGGTTGGTTTATTCGTAAAGTTTGGTTTATGCTCTTTGAGTGTTATAAGTGCATTTTTGTGAGCGCTGGCTTCTACTCTGTCAGATGTACCCAGTTGTATGTGATATTTTTGTCTTCCGTGTGGATGGCTTTTATTGTGTCGGCATTTGATTTCTTGTATGATTTTGTGATGTTTTCTTTAAGGAGGTCGCAATATGCTGGCTTGCCTAGCTTGTAAAAATTCGTTGAATAATTATTATTATTATTATTATTAAGATAAAATGAAATAAAATCGACAAGTTTTTGGTGTAGCTACCCCGAGTTTCACGCCGTAGGGCGATCTTCAAGCAACTGATAGATTATTTATTATTCCATTATTTCGTAGAAGTACTATTGCTAATGCGCATTTAATACACACAACGATTATTTTTAAAATAGACATGTTTCGACATCTCATGATGCCATCTTCAGTACATTAAATATTATTTTATTTATATTATTATTTTGTTATTGTAGTCGGTTTTATCAAGGATGACAACGGCATTGCCCTTATCAGGTTTCATGACAACAATGCTATTGTCATTCTTAAGGTCGTTTAGAAGGTTGATTTCGTCTCTTGAAAATAAAAAACTACGACGGCTGTAGCTGCGAAGACCAGATAGTGCTATGTCTTTCATTCGGGTTTTACGGATACATAGTGAAAACCAGAGTGTTCATAGATGCTTTCATTATGAGTTGCGGCAAAGAATTTTTCGAAGGGTGCGAGAAAATTAAAGTGGTTTAACTTAGTAGTTGCAATGGCAAAATATAAACCCTTGGAAAGGATGTCTTTTTCTGTGTTGGTGATTAACCTGTTCGAGAAATTGAACACCACTTTGTCTGGGATGATTTGAATTTTATTGTAGTTCTTAGCGCAAAGATGAAAAAGCGTTCGATCTTGTATGAGTTGGTGCTGGTTTAATTTCTTCGAGTTCTCACGATCTGAAACATTCTTCAAATGTATAAAGTCTAGTGTAGATACGAATGAAGCCAGATGAGAATGGGTCGTTGTTACTTGTGCAGATAGTACGCGTACTCTGGAGTAATTGTCATTTATTTCTTCGAGGATTAGTTTGCTTTGACATTGTCGATAGGTGCTAGAACTACGCAGACAGCGATTTGCAACCTTGAACCACAAGAAACGTGGTATTGCTGAACGCTTTTTACACGTTGTAAGTAATTTTAAATCCAATATAGCTTTACCAAGTTCGAGCTCGATGCGTTAATACTTTCTAAATTCTTTAAGCGTTTTATTGTCATATCGATTTATCAATATTGTTGCCAATGAAGTGCCAGGCGGGAAACGGATTCCCAATATAAGTATTAGAGCCCAGCAAATAATTTTAAACATAGTCATAAACAATTTGGTTTTATTAAATTTATTAAAACAGTGACGTTTCGTCTTTACTTATCACATCTTTAGACTAATTAGGAAGTTAACAAGAATGTAGATATATATTGAGCTATCTACACACCAGAATCTCGGAATGCTTGGGGATCTCTCCCTTGACTGGAAAACGCTATACTAACCCATTAATGTTAAGTATTCTTTCTCTTAGTATCTCCTCTAACCACCATGTTTCGCCAGACGATTTTAAGATCATCTCATTCTGCTCCGACACATTCGACCTCATAATCCACGAAAGCCTCCTCATCTCCAAACTAAAACCTTCACTTAACACCGAAGGCAGCTCCATCCCTCTTAAGCTTTTCTATTCTCAACACCTCACCCTAACAATACATCACACAATACATCACATCACACTTACACATTCACGATAATCTGATACCTCAAACTGTGTAAATAGCTCTATATATATCTATATTAAAGTAAATGGTTTGAACCCGGGAGTATCGTTAAATGTTTGTAAATGTAGATCGCCAGGTTGGTATAGTCCTGAGAAGGACTGTTTTTGTTGTTGTTGACTGACGTTTCGACAACCCTAGTGGTAGTAATCTTCAGAGTCAAAATTTGACAATGACGCAGTGGCGTGGTGGCAAGGGGGCAGAGAGGGCAGGGAGGGGAGGGGGATTCAAGTCTCACAAAGCTGTTGATTTTATTGGGAGCAGAAATGATTATGAGTCACGAAGTTTTAAATTTTGGCTAGAAAAATGAATTGAAGTAAAACAGTTATTTCCACAGTTATAATATACAGTAAATGAAGTTAATTGTTGAGAAACAGGAAGACTGATCAAAATGAAACCTTGTAAGGGGGGTCGTTTTACAGTCAATTAAGGGATAAAGTAATTGAGGAGCATTCTTGATGTTTCTTATGTAGCAACAACACCTGACTTGTCAATTGTTAAAATGACTGTAGACAAATTACAGGGCCAAAATTAATATCTTCTTAGGGGGCGCGACAAGGCCTAAAAATGTATAATTTTTTGCCTATTTCAATCAATTTTCTTGGCTTTCTTCCACAGACAGGAATCGTTACTGGCATTGCATTTTATTATTAATCCAAGCCTTATAATATTTTTTGTGGGTAGCCTGCTCACGGGCTAACCACAATGTTATACTAAAAAATGTCCAAATGTCCAGGTGCTAGGACGGCAATTCACAAGTTGACACGACTACATGACGACATTCAACCTATTCGCGTACCTATTTTTAATTTTTTAGTGGTAGCGTAGTCATCGGTAGAGTGTAATCAAAATGCAAAGGCTAACATAAAGTATCGAAACTCAATAATACTGCGGCATGCACTGCAAAAATCATTAGTTCAAAGGTGAAGGTGGCGCGAAATTTGCTTTGGCCTCCGCAGTCAAAATTGCACCACCACGCTTCTGCAAGGACGTCTTGCAAATGGAACTTACAATGGTAAAACAAGGACTTAAAAGGATGAAAGAGGAAGTTAAAGTAAATAAGACAATTATAAAAAAATGAACAATGACAAAGACTTGATAAAAAGTAAAGAGATAAACTTAAAATGATGAATTACAAATTGATAAAGACAATGAGTGGCATTGAGAAAGACAGGTTTTAAAAAATCCAAGGCCATTACTAAACTTCAATTTAGAAAAGGGGTGTGTATTAACACATTAAAATGTACCTGGCTGATTTCTTTAGGGAATGAAATTCTTTTAAAAACCAAATAGATCACTCGCAATAAATAAAGTACTTTAAGTCACCTGTAACTGAGTTAATGATGATATGGGAATTACAATGGCGTAGCCAACTTGTAAATTTGTGACAAAAATTTTAAATTGACGTTATATATGTCGACATTATATACTACATCATATTTGACTTGTTATGAATGTAATTTTGTATTACTTGTGAACAGATATCAACTTTTTTATCTGTTGGCAAATAGTTGGCAATTATTTCTCGCTTTTAAAACATGATTCTTTAATTTAATCTTCTTGCCGCATCAATTTACCTAAGGACATAGTGCAAGTGTCTTTCAAAATTTATGTTAATTTCGTTTAGAATATGCACTTAACAATATCTACTTTAAAAATTAATAATGGAATAAATGGGATTAGTCATTCCTCATAATGTGATGTATGACGACATCTGCCAGATCTCATGTGAACGACAACTCATGATGCATGTTGTTTTGTTGCGTTGGATTTGTTCTGGCAAGATTGCTATTAATAAAACTCCAGAAGCACTATATTGAAGACGAAGAAAACGTTTTACTTCGAAAAGAGGAATTTCAAACCCAGTTAGGCGACCACACGGCCGACAAAATTAAAACGGATTAAATTTAATATGACGACTTTTGGGGAAAATCGAAGAATTTAATGGCGATAATGAAGAATGGCGACATTTTGTCGAACACACGAATCACTTTTTCAGGGCAAAGATATGGAAGACGAAAGCAAACACCGATCGATTTTTTTGGTTAGCTTAGGGAAGAAAACATATAAGTTGATTCAAAGTTTGGTAGCCATCGATGTCCTCAAAACTAAGAGTTACGAAGAGCTGGCGCTACTGGTACAGGATATAACTACCAACCGAAACCATCGGAACCTTCACAGACAATAGTACAGCGTTTAAAATTCAACACTCGATGTCAAAACCAAAGTGAGACCTTTTCAATGTTAATGGCAGAATTAAGGCGTTTAATCAAAGGATTGAGAATTTGGTTGAAATTTGGACTAAATGTTGCGAGATTGACTTACTTCTGAGACAAATTACCATAATATTCAATAGCGATTATTAGCTGAAGCTAAACTGACCTTAAAGTGAGGAACTTGACTTTGCTTTTGCTAATGAAAGATCTGAGAAGGTCGCTTCAAAGGATCATTGACGTAATGGAGGCGGTTGTCCTGTTTCACGTTTTATTGTGTAATTTGGGTAAGCCATAAAAACGTAATGGTTGAGAGCCTTTTGGGAAAATATCATTGTATACTTGGTTGTCAATTGAGCCCTTCCTTTTTAATTTTCTGAGGAGTCGTTGTAGTTTAGCTTCTCGGGATAGCGTAGGATTTTCATCAAGCAGTGTGAATTTTGATGTGTTTAATACGTATATTTTATGCTCATTATAGAATAATCAAATGAAACCTTTGAAAAAGTAATTTTCTAAGACATTTTCAAGAAGTCTGCTAAACAATACTCAAACAAACATGGTTGAATATAGTTCGCAAAGCTTACTTAAAAAAGTAAGTACATCTACAGCTAGTTCTACATAAATCGAATTACAAATATGTATAGCCTGAACCAAGAACACATGTGGTTCCTATTACCACTATTGTAATTAAGAAATGAAAATATATCCCATTGATTTAAGCTCTATTATCGGCTTTCCTGTGCAATAAGCTGAGTTCCCGCAGCTGTTGATTTGAGGTTTTCGCGCGCAGTAAATACCGTTGTATGGACCACCAAAACCAATGAAAGAATCGGATGAATAACAATTATTTTTATCATTTCCTATGATACCAAGCCTTACACGAGCGTGTAACTCGTTTTCATCCTTTGCGTTGAAACCTTCTTTATTGCAGTTTAGTTGAAGAACACTGTCATTAATCAATGACATCCATTTGTTTCGGCTCACATTGGTTTGGCGGTATTTTCCATCGGCAATGGTATCGTACAACGATTTAGCCTGAAAATTGAAGCTGATAAAATTTGTCTTACCATCGAATTTCATTCCAACACATATCTTGTTTAAAAAACACTTGAGAAAAACGACGATTTTTTTGAGAGCAAACATGTTTCGACATTATAAGAATGCCATCTTCAGTGCAGAATGGTTAGTGTTAGGTAATATGATACGTAATATGATATAAATACATTAATTACAATGAATAGGATTATGATTCAGTTACTAAATATAAAATATTTACAAAAAAGGAAAAGAAAAATAAGTATTAAGAACTTATAACAAAAAATATTATTATAAAGTAAATATAGTGTTTATAATAATATTTTTTGTTCTAAGTTCTTAATACTTATTTTTCTTTTCCTTTTTTGTAAATATTTTATATTTAGTAACTGAATCATAATCCTATTCATTGTAATTAATGTATTTATATCATATTACGTATCATATTACCTAACACTAACCATTCTGCACTGAAGATGGCATTCTGATAATGTCGAAACATGTTTGCTCTCAAAAAAATCGTTGTTTTTCTCAAGTGTTTTTTAAAATTGCTGCTAATTAGAAATTATGGTAACATATCTTGTTTATTTTTGTGCTCCAGTAGGTAGGAAGTTTTGTTTCCAAATCATCCATTCCTGTTTTACCATTTTCAATATTGTAACTACTTTTATTTGTCCAAAACGATGAGTCAAATTCGAAGGTTTTCTAAACAAAACTTGTAAAAATTACACAATGAATTAAAAATTCTGTTCAAAGTTAAACATTTCTAACATTTATTTTAAGTACAATAGTAATTCCTGTCTCCGAAAAAATGAGTTAGTTAGACATGAACTGATCTAAGGTATTGTAACCTATGCCATACAACGACAAATCGACCTTCTGAAACTGTTTCAATGTTAACACACAGGCGGAAATCACATTGTGGTGATAATGACATTTACTACCTTTCCTTCCACACTAAACTCTTAACTCATTGGAATTTTAAGTTTATATCGAGAACGTAAAATGAAGTAATTTTACAAAAATTCAAAAAAAATAAACCTAAAGTTTTAACAGTTCTACTAGTCAATCACACATAACTACATGCATCTTTACGTGCTTGCCGATGTGATAAATACCCTAGCCCAGTCTCTAACGGTCCTAGATTTTAGTGATTCAATCTTCAAAAACAGATAAACTTTTCTGAATAATATGTTCTATTCATTTAAAGAGTAAAAAAACAAAATATGTTCGAAATTATGAGAAACTTTTGTAACCACCTCTCGTTCATTCTAGACATGAGTTTTGGCTTGAACTTGGACATAAAAAAAAAATTAGTACAACATATTACTTAAGTTTGAACTCACTTTCCTTTTAATATGAATAAATGCTGCTTTAATTCTCCTCAACTCGTTTATAAAAAAAGGTTTTTGACTTTGTTGTGTCATGATGTGAAAGAAAGTTGCGATAAAATATCGAACACAAAATTTGTCAAATGATAAATTTTCCCAAGGTATCATCTGACCTGGGAAATGTTTTAAACGCTTAAAGTTAAATTCATTTAAATCAGTTTTTCAAAAATAAAGAACTGAGAATTTTAGATTCTTAAAAAAGTCAATCATTGGCATTTTGCATTGGAAAATCTACAGTGAGCAGTGAGCAATGCGATATTTTGCTATAAAACACAATTATAATCTTATTGCAATTGTTATTTTCAATCTTCGAATGAAGCTTCCATTAAGTCACGAGCATAAGTCGTAATGATATACACAAAACGTCAATACAGATTGTTGTAATTTAGTTGAAACCTAGTTTAAGTAGAAACTTGTGTTCTTATAAAAACATCAAATCTAAATATAAAATTTAAACGTCTTTAAAAATGACGCTAATGAGTGCAACGTGGCTAGGTTTATATCATACCTGATTCCCATCAATTTTCATCACTAGCGTCCAGTTCCAGAACAACCCAATATCTTTTTGATTTGCTGTTGAAGTGTCCGTCTTTATCAAGTACACACCATCTTTTGAGCTTTTGCATTGGTTTACAAGAAAACAATTTTCTATCTTAATTTTGTTGTTATAATTTATCAATGTTGACCACAAGAAACGTTAGCAGACCAACTTTTCTAAAATATTTTGTTAAAGAATAAAAAAAGAGAGAATTTAATAACCAAAATTATGAAAATCGAAATTCTCATATGTAAACTATTTGATAATTATACCACCAAAATGTCCTGGTTGTTTAAGCACTAATGTCTATTATTATAAAATGAATGTTTTTTTGCAATTCAACATGCTTTGGCATGTTGATTGATAAATGATGCAAATAAATAAGTAAGGTCTTTCGTAATAACGGTGTAATTGTGTTTGGTTGTCCTGAAATATGTTATTCCCAGTTAGTTTTACTAACGCAACTCAAGCAGATTTTGGATCCACTAAGAAAAAGTAATTAATGAAGATATGATCTTTTTTGCTGGACAATTTAAACAATTGCATGAACCTGAAAATTCACATTCGAAACCATGACCTCTGGGGTGCCGGTGCAGTGCTCTGCAGAGGTCATGGGTTCGAAATCACCTGAATGTTTCAGGTTCATGAACAATTGTAAATTGTCAGCAAAAGTATCTATCAATTCAAACACCGGCATATAACATTCTTTCAAAAAGTAAATTGTTACAACTCTTTACAAAATATCCTTGGACTGCATTCTGATAATAAGCCAATTTTTTCAAAGCCAACAAAAATTCATCAGGACTATCTCTATAGCGTAAGAAAACAGGGCCATTCGTTGACTCGAGTTCATTTTATCCAAAACATCAACGTTATCTCTGACATATTAGGCATCATATTATCCATTAGAATCATGTTCTCAGCATGTGCGTTGGGAAAGAGCAAATCATAAATTTTGTTAAAAGCTAAGAATGAATTGAAATTTTTTATATTTATATAAATATGAAAAAAACCATTGAGTAGCTATAAAAAAACCATCTAAACTTACACGATTGGAGTTCGCATGTTTTGTTGTACTCTAAACAAACGAAATTAACAATTGAAATGAAGAGGAATTTGTGTTTAAATAACAAACATCGTTTACTTTACTATAAAAATACGTATTTGATATAACTAAAAATCAGTTTTATCAAAACAATTATTCTTGTATTAACTTAAAACTTATTTTTACCTTGAAAGGGAATTGAGAAAAATGTAATCATAAAATCGATTATGTTTTAAATTTTCATTGCTGTTGTTGAGAACACTATGTAACATTTCACAAAGACTCCAACGTCCCTGACTTAACCTTCTCCTGTGGTTTATAGATCGACAACATGGTTCCTTAACGCAGGAAACGATGCATTCTATCTCATTTTTCACATCAATTTTTTGTATATATTGCTCCTCTCTGATCTACAAATGTACAATAATATTTCAAAGATAGTTTTGATAAAAAACAATTGATTCTAGCTAAATGCAAACTTTTAATATTTTACGACAAACCCTATTTATAGATAGTATTTTCTACATAACGTGTCTTACCTTTGTGTGAAGAATCGAAGCAAAATTGAAGCACATGATTTGACGAAAATATTCAAAAGAAATAAAATCGTCAAGAGCACTTATACAGTTTTGAAAAACATGTTACATAAACATTGCAGTCAAAAACACAGCTTAAGTGAATGCTCTGAAATTTGAGTGTCCAAGTACGATGCGGAGCATCATCGACACTTGAAAGAATAGCCAACATTTGATTTTAGAGTTTTGGGCACCTTGTTCTTGAACGGAAACAGGCTGAAGAGGCGTTTGGTTGATCGAAAGAAGGATCGTATTTCACAGTGTGGGAAAAGGGCACTACCAAGGGGTGGATTTTGTGAGGATTTGGGATGAGTGTAAGCCAGTAAATGGAAGGCCAAAATACTTTATTTGCTTGAGTACATTAAGAACAGGTGATTTGGGTTGAAAGACTTTGTCAAGAAACATGTTTACACAGTGATCAAATATGTGACAGAGAATTGAACGGCAAAACATTTTATTTGTGATGTTGAATTTAGAAAATATTTTTAACCTATCAGTGGAATTTTTTTATGTTGATTCATTTGTTCCATATTTTTCGCCGTTCAAAGTTGGCAAAATTGCTTCTGATAATGGACGTTGCCTGTCGTTTCGAAAAGTCTTGATTAACTTACTTTTGTGACGTCATGCATGTCACTTGTCAATAGAAGATATAGGTACCAAATATCTTCGATGATATTATAATTCTGCTAGAATCGGAATCTAGCAGTTCCATTTAAAGGCAACTTACAACCGACATAGCAAAAAGATGATTTGAACAAATTAAAACGTTTTCTTCACGGATACATTAAACATTACACCTTGTTCTAATATTTTAGAAATAAGTTTTTGCTGATAAGTGGATTTTAACAAATGAATCAAAGGGAGGAAACAATTTTTGTTTGCATTTAACGTTGCGAAATAAAAACATTTCTTATCCAATGGACATCATAACTACTAAATATAAATTGTCATAACAACACGTTGTTTATGTAAAGAAGGCGTCGAATTATATTACATATTTAAGTGAAATAACTCTCATTACTAAATTGACGCCAATATCTAATGAGATAACAAAGTTATAGTAAATTTAATAAATTATGTCTAAATCTAACACCTCTGTTTCTCTTAAGTAGCTAACTTATTGCGTATGTCACTTTTTAATACATAAATTAAGCTAGAAAGGCACTTAGGTTCATTTTATTTGAGCCACTTAAAGACAAAAATAGAAGCATTCGATCTGACAAAAAATTCAAACCACCAAAAAATTGTTACGAAAATTTTTAAGCATTTCTTTATACACATCATCTTGCGGAACGTTGACTCGTCTTCAAAATCATTATTTATTTATTACGCTTGTTCCTTAAAGTGCTTTCTTAGAATAACTTAAGTTAAAATTATAATTTTCTTACGTTAAATACATTGTTTATTCTAGCATGATAGGTTCCACATTAAAAATTAAAAGATATGCTCTTAAAAACTTTATTTAACGCAGGACTGTTAAACTTAACTTGTGATTAACCGTTCGAAATTATACTGAACAATATTCACTGAGACATAGCCTAAGATAAGATTGCTTGTTTAAAACAAGCAATTAAGTACTGATAACAACTGGCTGTTTACGAATTGGCGGAGTCAAGTGATATCGATTATTAAAAGCATCAAAAACTTAATTGCGAAAATATCGTCAAAAGCTAATGAAACGAAATTATCACAAATTTATTTAATTTTGTATAAGTCTAGCGCATGTTGCTTTTAAAACTTTAGTCAGCTACAAAGATATTTGGCTATTCCATTAAACCTGTTACAGGTAAAAATTTATGAATAATTTTAGCTGCGACCTATATCAACTTTGGGAAGTAATACTGAGGTAAAATTTACTTAAAATAAATGCATAGTTCTATACAAGTTTGTATAGTTTGTAGTTCGTATTTTGTTGTTTTCTATATGATTCAGCGATTGAAAACATCTTTAAGCAACACTCGCTGTAATGCTTATTCTGATGAAAACTTTAAAATTATTAAAATGTCGCTCGTTATTCCAGCTACTTGTCATGGAGTCGGTATTAATTAAATTGACTAATCCTGTCCTTTGCCGACAAAAGGATTACGTGTTTAATCTGTCTCTGTTTTAAGTGTCATCTCTAAAAGTAGGGATGACATTGACCTTTTGTAACATTATAAATATAGCATGATTTGGAGGTTCTCATTTAGCAAACGTTGACACCTGACGATAGTCTGCCGAAATGCATAGTGTCTCTTCCTAGCTGTAAATAACGGTTCCTTTGAATTTTGGGTTAGTGTTCTGGTTAAAACAGTTCTTTAAGAACAATTATATTGTTATTATCACCATTCACCATGATATTTGCTATTTTGAAATCCATCTTTAAGTTTGTCACCACGACAAAGTCTTTTTTCATATACAAAAATATTTGTACATGAAGAAAGCAATAGTTGCATTGTATAGGAAAATAAAACACGAGCCGACTTTGCTACAACTAGCATAATTATTTTAGGAAAAATTTATTTCAGCAAATAAAGGTAACGAGCATAAATTCTTTCTGTCAATCAAATATTTATTATTGAGGTTTTCTACAAATGGTTATATTTAGCTTCTTAGTGTCCATATGACGAAAAAGGTTTCTATGAACTAGAAACAACAACTAATTTAGACTCATAGCTTGTAAATTTTCGTTTCATCAGATGAATCATTTACAACATTTGCCCATGGACTGGAAACTTTTCCATACTGAAAGAAATAAAAAACAACTTATAAACAGTAAACTCATTTTAGTCTTCAAGTCATGATTGAAAAAAATGTAAAAATTGATTCATTAATGGACAGTATGGAGTATGCATTTTACAGCATAGAAATTAGGATCGAAATATGGGTTGAATGAATACATTATTCATGCAGCACCTACCTGAATATCAGTAAGTTCCTTGTAAAACCGTCTGGCGATCTTTGGACCATTTTCCATTGTTGGTATATGAAGCATCTAAGAAACACATATGTCAAAGAGATGTGTAAAATATCAGAAAAAAATTAGGTAGAGGGTAGCGTTTAGCCCAAATGAACGTCGAATAAATTGTTTAATGTTTAATCGATTAAGTATTTGAAAATGGCGCAATTTTGAACAACTGCTGCCTTGCTGTTTTAATTTGAATCATAAACACTGAATGGGACAGACAATATCCGTTTACTGTTTGTGGACTATTAGCACCACTTCTACCGTTTATATTAAAATATCATAAGTCGTATATATTCGAGAAAGTAGATTCAATGCAGATATCAGTTTATGAAATATAATATATAATGTTTACGTAAATGAAGACAAGATGGCTGTGATGATGTTGTCGTTTTATTTTTACGTTTAGTTGTCGTTTACAAAACAATGGCGAATATGGGGTACATCAAAGAAAGAACCGCAGCACATTTTGCACATAGAGCATTTCCAGCCTATAGTACCAAAGTGCTTTGGTGCTTTCAACAAATTGACGCTCTTTTAATACTTCGAGTGACTGATTTGAAAGTGCAATTTTTCGAAATTAAACATGTTATATGGCGTGTGTGGGCATCGCGCCTGGGTACTGTTACATTTCCAAGTACATCAGAGGCAAGCGCATTGGTTGCATTTTTCTCTTAAAAAACTTACAGCCCATAGAGTGGTTGGTACTTTGAATTAAAAATTGAACAACTTCAACTTATTTTTATTAATCCGGGATTTAAGGGCGGCGGAATATTGATAGTTTGGGTACTATTCATATGCATGTTTTACTTTACTAGTTTCTATTGAAATCATATGTGTTTACGGATTATAACATATGAATATATGAATATAGCAATTATCAATATTCCGCCGCCACTGACAGGATTCACAACTGAAAGACACAGATTCAGTTTTGAAGGTATGTAAACAGTTCCAACAGTAACTATACCTCATCTTTATAAAGTATATCTTTGACAGGACATACGACGCAAGCCGTACCAGCGCCAAATATTTCTTTCACCTAAAAATAAAGTGTGCCATTGGATAAATTTAACAAACAAAAATTTCATTCCGTCATACAATCAACGCATCAACATATTTAAATACTTAAATTTTACATTTTTCTATGCAACATTCTAAATTCAAGGAAAGCACTTGGAGCAGAAAATATTTTAAAAGTCATCATACACAAATCATAAAGTGGAAAAACTAAGTTACAGCAATGCAGGAATGTTATGACCCATGGCGTAGCAGGAGAAGATGAGACCCTTATGTATTCAAATTGGGGCCAGTATTTGCTAGAGTTATCAAGAATCTCTGCAAAGTTATCTCGATTTGCAAGAAACATAAAAGATGTTAAGAACTAAAGAGAGAAAATGCAAATGAAAAACAAATACATTAGTGGGAAATTAAGACCATTTCTCAAAGAACAATTTTAAAACTTAAGTGAAAACAGTAAAACCATAAAAAGAAAAAATTTGCAATAATTTCCTACTCTATTCTCCTTGAGACATTTCTTCAATTCTTTCATCGTAAATAGCCTTTCCGATACTTTAAATTCACCTAAAATTTAACATTTGCATTGCATTCCTTCACTACAAACTCACGAACACAAGAAAATGTTGTCTATCACGTGATTTAAATTTGACATTTTGGTAAAGCAAAAATCGTTCCCCTTAGTTATAAATTTTTCCTCCTTCAACAGAAAAGAAGGGTAATGCGAAAATGGAAACAGTGATAAAAATATTCTCGCATAACATTGCCCAAGTTTCAAAGATTTAAATCCTTGTCGTACCCACTTGTGCGCCAGTTCAATCATCGACTTTCGTGTCACTCCAGGTAATATTAGACCGTCCAAAGGAGGAGAGATCAGTTCATCTTCTAAATAGGTGTTATGGTACATCTTGCATATTTTAAAATGACAAAACTGCTTTAAGATGGCCACTATCAGAGAAACAACACATTAATATGAATCCTGACACAGACTCTATACGCACATGAAAACATGTGATTTAAACGTGATTTGATCTCCTGAAACTACTATTGTGGCATAAGTATCTCGTCCACATAAACTTTAAAAGACATTTTACTCCTCTTCAATCCCTGTGGCATGTAGCTCAACAGGAAGAGCGTGGACTAGTACCCGAAGGTGCGAGTTCAAATCTTGTCAAGTCACATTTTCTATTGTGCATATAAACACCGTAAAACTTGTTCATTAAAGATATTTCACCCCAACTTTTACTTTTTTAATTCTGATATGAAGAAGGGATAGAATAATTAATAAAAATAAAGATGTACGTTTTTGACTCATAAAGCCTGTTTAAATTAGACTCATGATCCTTGTTCAACTTCTGCTGCCCTAATACTCAACATGCTTTTAAAAAGCACTAAAAGCAATGTTATGTTGCACCAAGGCAATTTCTACTGCTTCTTTGACTTTATTCATGGTAGTGTATGTTAGTCTTGAATAGTAATGAAATGATCGATTTTTGTTTAACAACAAAACTTACTGTGTTAAGTTTTTATCACTTTATTGCGTCTTATCATAAGTTTATAAGTTTCATTGTCACAAGAAAGCTTACCATTCATTTTCAATAAAAGAAATATATTCATGGTGCCAACTTCAGTTATCTATAGAAAAAAAAGTAAAAAAAAAATTCATCGTGTTTAAGGAAAATAGTATTAATCAGACAACTGCATCAATCAAAAGGCAATCACACGTCAAAACAACGAACAGTGCATAGCAATCATTACGAACGAGATAAAAGGTCGGTTAAATGAAAGATGAGATCAGTGAAAGATGAGGTAAGTGGATGACGAAAGAGAAGATAAAACGAGTTTAACGTTTCGAAACATAACACAAGTATAATTTAAGAATGTGAATTAAGGTCAAGAAAACATACTTGTTCATCTTCACCATAAAGCCAGAGAACCTGCTCACATTTTTTCTTATGTGCTTTGTCTTGGACGTATAACGACGGAGCATAATTTCTAAGACGAATAAAAAGCAAATATTTGATACCTTTTTATTTAATTGATTATGATATAGTTTCGAGCAACAACAGCCCAACAAACCAAGGAATGACAAAGCAACATTGATTAACATTCGTTCATACAAACATTGCTCCTTACTCGGCTTTATACGCTTAAATTCATAAACTCACCAACCCACCAGACTTGTCACAAGTTCACACTTCATGTTTGTAAATGCAGATCGTCCAGGTTTGACTCTGAAGATGACTACCGCTAAGGTTGTCGAAACGTCAGTCAGCAACAACAAACCAGTCCTTCTCAGGACTATACCAACCTGGACGATCTACTTTACAAACATGTAACGATGTTCAAACCATTTACTTTTTCACACACTTCATCATCGAACTGACAAGACTTGCGAAACATACTTCTGCAATCTTCCTAAAACTTTCTTACGCCTTGTTTAGACACAAATTTATATGCATGTACATCCCCAACGCCACAACATTTGAAATGGTAACGATAAATGAGGCAAAAAACGAAAATTTGTGAGGCAATTGAGTTAAAAACGTAAATCGACGTACAACTCAAAAAATTGTAGAGGAACATATGTGCTTAGAATAAGTAGTTAGTGATTTTAGCTAAGTGTACAACTCCTTCATGAAAATTCGAAACGACTTTGTTTTAAGAGGACACACAAATTACTAATCATTAGCAACTCTATTGACAAGTTTATTATGCATAAATATACTTGAAATTAATAAGATGTATACACAGTGACTGAGGTATATTTTAAGAATTTCGTCCTTTGTCCGGTTACATTGTGTCAATGTATGTCACGAAACCTTAAGAGTCAAAAAAGGCAGTCGAAAATTTTTATTTAATTTAAAAGTACAACAATTGAACGAACGCTATTATTGTAGCACTTTTCCTTATAGCATTTCATCCCGAAGCTTACATGAAATTATGCGTGAACTGGTTCTTTTGAGGACCTTAACTATCAATTACAACTTGATTCAATAACAAAATACGCAATACAACTCAAGTTTATTACAATTCATATTGAATTACAGCGTTAAAAGCAGCGTGTTCTCCATTGTACGTCACGTCAGGTAAACAAGACCCAGTCACAGCACCTCACCGGCAAACACGAAAAGCCAATTTTGAGGACAAACAGTCAAGAAAGATTAAACTTTCCTCATATAAAATATATTGCAAATGTTCTCCAAATAGTTAACTCAATCTAAATACATTATTTCCCAATGGGTGATGTAGGCACTTTAAAGTGACGACATTGAAGATACATTTTGACACGTGCCAAAATTGAAAAACACGTGCCAATATGTTGCAATGAAAACAGTCCATATGACTAACTATACTAATGAACTAGATCTACTTGCAAATTCGAAGTAGCTAAACTAAAAATAGCGAAATCATCAGTGCATGCAGTCGACTCAGCTATTTGCCCGAGCTCATAGTCATGGCAATGACAATAAGATCTACCAGCAGCAATTAAAGTAAATACTTCAATAAGTAACATATTATCGGCGAAACGTTTGAGCATGAGCAGTGGACTAGACCAAAAGTGGAGCGTACTTTTAAACATTGTGCTTGTGTAGCTGTGACTCTTTCATTATGATTTGAGGATTTATATCCAACTAGCAGTCATACAAACCCTTCTTTTCACCCACTCATCCTGTTGACTTAAAATACCATATTACTGTCTCTATTTCACAAACCCATCTTGTTGTCTGAATCTTACCCTCCCATTTTGCAGTCTCCACAGCCACCATGCCAAGAACGAACGTATGTCGCATCGGCCATTAAAGTGACTGGATTAAACGAGCCTGTTTTAAAATATGGACCAACAGGAGATAAAATGCAGTATAGCAACTTCTTTTGGTTTGTTAACACCAAGTGTTGGCTAAAATAAAAAGTATTCAAGCTTTCAAAAATAGGTAGCAAATGAAAATTTAGGAAATAAAGTTTGACTTAAAAGTAAATTTAGCATAACTATTTTATGTTAAATATACAGGGTGTATGAAAAAAAGTAGACTGTTGGAAAAAGTGATCTTTAACGTTCTCTAGTAAAGCTGGTAATGAAAATTTTAAAAATGCGAGATGTTTTACGATTGAAAAAACTGTTGTTAGAAGTCCTTCAAAACAGGCGTATCGTTCTCGTATCATACGCGTATCGTTCTCGTATCATACGCGTATCGTTCTCGTATCATACGCGTATCGCTCTCGTATCATACGCGTATCGTTCTCGTATCATACGCGTATGTGAACTAGTAACAATGTTGTGGAACTAGTAACAATGTTGTGGAACTAGTAACAATGTTGTGGAACTAGTAACAATGTTGTGGAACTAGTAAAAATGTTGTGGAACTAGTAACAATGTTGTGGAACTAGTAACAATGTTGTGGAACTAGTAACAATGTTGTGGAAGTAGTAACAATGTTTTGTTCAAAGTAGTAACAATGTTGTGGAACTAGTAACAATGTTGTGGAACTAGTAACAATGTTGTGTAATAAAAATGTTGTGGAACTAGTAACAATGTTGTGGAACTAGTAACAATGTTGTGGAAAACAATGTTGTCTAGTAACAATAACTAGTAACAATGTTGTGGAACTAGTAACAATGTTGTGAAACTAGTAACAATGTTGTGGAACTAGTAAAAGAACTAGTAACAATGTTGTGGAACTAGTAACAATGTTAAGGGAACAACGATATTGCAAATCAAAGTTTAATTTTTCCACCATTTGGAAATAAATACAATCATTGAAGATCTAAGCGCACGATAAACATGACGACAAAACACAGAAGTAGAAAATCAGAACATAGAAAAACTAGCTGCTTTTCTGTTTAGTTAGACATTGCAATGAGTTCTAATTACCTGCTGCACCCAGTTCCGAAGAGTGGAAACGCCGATTTAGATTTGAAATTATAATTTCAAAAGTAATTAATCGTTGTTAAAAAATACTAAGGAAGTTATTGAAAGATACAGAGCTCCTCGTTTGCGCTAAATAAATGCGCGAAACATGCAGAGAATAAAACACAACAGTAAAAAATAAAACAAATTCCGAAAACGGACATCAACACAAACACAACAGCAAGGGCAATTTTGCGGCGAGTGTTAATAAAAGTAAGCACGCGCAACCTTCCGACATTATCGAGTTACAAAGCAAGTAGACGGCGTTTTACAAAATGTCTCGAGACAAATTATATTAGCAATAAATAGTAGTGTCTTGTGCAACAATAAATGGTGGTTTCTCGTGCAACTAGGGCAAAACAAGCGCTCGTGAGTTATTTTAAAGATTGTACATATTTTTAGACCATTTCTTTACTATAAATTTTGACGGCAAAATATAACAAGAAAAACATAACTTACCCCAGTTCCAATAAATGTTGGTCTTATGTACATGGAACAGTTTTCTTCTTTTGGAGCCCAGTCTTTATCGAGTTTTACCAACTCGACCATGCATTTGATAAATTCCTCGCCATCAAAGCTCTTAACATGAATTATCAATTAAACATTTATAGTACAGTAGGTTCCTAAAATGCAAATCAATCAAACAATGACGTCACGGTAGGTTGGAGCTTTATGCATAACACGCGTGGTGTATATAAAAACTGTTAGTGCAGAAGGGGGATTTCTTGTGCATAACACGCGTGGTGTGTATAAAACTGTTAGTGTAGACAACACTTTGTAGCACAAAGTTCTGAAGTCTTCACAATAACACTATGCCCATAACTTAAGGTTTAATCAATGGAGCGCTAACTGACATTTTGAAATATATACTTGCATAAAACAGCCACCATGCAGTGCAAGGTACGTACAACAAACATTCAGGCGCCGGTTGCACAAAGCCTGGATAGCCCTTTACAAGTGGATAGCAAAAATTTTGAAACTCGTAAAAAAGGTGTTTATATTTTCTAACGACAAAGAAATTTCGTAATCTTCAAAACAATGTTTTATTTCAGTGATTGTTCAGTTGGAATCTTATACTTTTTGCTTTTTAAAAGGTTTTATAAAAGTTTAAATTGCAATCCAAGGTATAACGCTATCCAGGCTTCGTGCAACCGGCCCCAGTACTGTATATTTACTTTCAAAAACATTGACAACTTTCTATAAGACAATAGCGAGATTTAGCAAGAGTACGACTACGAGTACGAAGTCTGACCGTGTAGGGAATGGCACGAGGAGGTTTGCTGTCGCAGTCGCTTCGTAAAATGTTGTTTTAGTTGTAACCAACAGAGCAAGCTTTTTACTGTGAAAAACATAACATTTTGAGAAGCTGCAATAGCTCCATTTGTCGATAATATCGCTTAATCTTGACTATTTTACCTTTTATGGATTATATATTTACAGTATTTTGTGGTATTTTACTGTACGCGTTTACAATTCACTTTGCGTACGAGATACATGGAAGTTTTAAATGTCATATTTTCGTTTTAAATGTGCATCTGCGTTCAAAAAGGTTCTGACCTAAAGCCTGGAAGGTCGAAAATAGTATTGTCAAATTTCTACACAATGAAAAACATATCTACTTTCTTTGCTTTAAAAACATCGTAGTCGCGACTACAATTTTTTCACAAAACATCCACTCAGATTGATGACGACTAGAGTAGTTCTTGTCACAACAATGTTTTCGCGCCAAAATGACGTCATTCGCACACGCAGTCTTCGCGAAAGCTCCCTATTGACAACTTTACGCGGTATATTTTTCATCAGTAAGTTAAACTCAAACAATGGCATGTTTTCAAAAGTGGTGAAATTTGTATTTTACATTTCATAATACATTTAATACTTACAGGTAGACACAGTCTTTCTGCTGTTCTTTGTAACCTCTTCACATTCTCCATGGGTCGAAATAATCTTATCTGGCCATCATATGAGCCAAAATATGCTTTCATGCCCTCAAAACCCTAAATAGAAAAATATAATATACTTTCATGTGTATGTGAGGAAATGATTTAGTAAAACTGAATATTTTTTATATTTATAAAAATAGGAAGCTTGTGTTATGATGAATCATCATTTTCAATATAATAAAAATAGGTGCACATTGTGTACATGCATCTGCGCTTGCGTATGATGCGTTGATGTTCGTTGATGTAAAATTAATTATATAGCATTTTATAGTTAAAGAAAACTCGTTGAGTCGCGAATTTCATCTTTGAAATTACTTCAATCGCAACTTTGCGTTAAAATGTGTGTCAGATTTTTAGCTGAAGTAACAACTTACAAGATGTTTTAAGTTGTATTATAGGTTATTAGCTGCTAAAGGAATCTTAAATAAAGAACAACTTCCTCTAACTGCCATTATAAAACATTTGTAAAACACTTAATAAACGTCTACACAAATACGATTAAAACACTGCAATAAGACTAAAATAGTTTAGATATTGTTTTTCTCTAATACATTTGACAACCGATAACAACATTTTAAAGACTGCAGAAAATTTAAGTAAGAAAAAAAAGTTAGCATTGAAGTTCAATAAAAAGAGTTTGTCTATAACTTTTGCGTCCGTTCCGCTAGTAATGCTGTCAAACAAATGGCACTGGAGTTTGACAAATCATCTAACTATAAAACATAGGCATTTGAGAAATATGTCTTTTAAAAAACACGAATATGGTACTTAAATTACTAAACTGTCAACGACGGTACCCTCGGTAAAGTGAATTGATGTGGATGCATGGCTGCTGTTATCGATTCTTTTTACACGTGCAGGAAAGATCCTCGCTATTGAGCCAATAATCAAGTCAGCGAACTGGCGGGAAAAGGCGATAGCAATGTCACTCGTGACTAACGCACGGAGAAGTTTAAGCGCCGCCCTCAGAATCCAGAAAAGTTATTTAGCGCTATTTCCGGTCACGCACCGCATCTGAGTAACTTTAGAGCGGCGCTCGGAGGAAATTTAGAGTTATTAACCTTTACAGTTCAGAACATCCTTGTTCTGCGCGTATGTAACATTATTTTCATGAAGTTACATAATATTTTATCATGAAAATAGATTTTGTATTTTGTCAACTCGCTATTTTCTTGGCGCAATAAAAATATTAAATAAGTACCACTAGTACTTTCGCATACGCGACGCATTCAAAATCTTAAAATTAAATAAGCGCCGCGATGCTAAAGCGAGCATTTACGGTAACAGACGTCATACAATACGTATATCTGCGCATGTGCAGACACAAAAGGTAAATATAATTTTTATACAAAATTACAAATAGAATTAAACAATAATAAATTACGCATAAATTTTACAAGCACAAACAAAAAAACTATAAGCTACATTTATATATTATACATCTCTTAAGGATTTACATTAAAAAACACACTTTAATAAGAAATCAGGTAGGAGCAACCGAATGTCTGAATATCACCACCCACTCCCAATTAACATTCTAGGGCATGGTTAAGGATGTACCGTCAATAATACATTAGCTGTTCAATGGCAGGGCTAAGGATGTACTGTCAATAATCTATTAACTGTTTAATGGCATGGTTAAGGATGTACTGTCAATAATACATTAACTGTTTAATGGCATGGTTAAGGATGTACCGTCAATAATACATTAACTGTTCGATGGCATGGTTAAGGATGTACTGTCAATAATACCTCAACTGTTCAATGGCATGGTTAAGGATGTACTGTCAATAATACCTCAACTGTTCAATGGCATGGTTAAGGATGTACTGTCAATAATACCTCAACTGTTCAATGGCATGGTTAAGGATGTACTGTCAATAATACCTCAACTGTTCAATGGCATGGTCAAGGATGACCGTCAATAATACATTAACTTGCATCAAAGCTTAATTGTTACTTCGATAGTTATGCGTAGTCCACTGTTGTTGAAGATGCGGCATATCTCCTTTTTGATGTTCTCTGTTTCTATTGGTGTGGTGTTTGAAATGGCCAGTCCGTCGTCTGGATAAAGTCATATGTCTGTTGTGATGTGTTGTAGTTGAGACAGGAAGTGGCTTCCTTCAAGTTCGTATGTCTCAGCACCGTTGAAGCTGCCCATTGCGACGTCGAATGTAGAGTTGTTGGTTTTGCCAGAGTTGTTGGTTGTGTATGAGAAATAAATTCTTAGCGTGTATAATGATGTTTGCTTTTGGCGTTTGTGATGTTGTCGTAGGTTGAGGCGAAATCAAGTGCTTTGTTTAGTAGGTCTTAGTTAATGAATGGATAGAAGTCTACGATGTCAAAGGATATGAAGGTGACGTTTTTTGTGTGTTTGATGGATTTCAACCACTGGATCACAGATATACTTATACCCTTTTAAAGAATTTTTTGTAAATAATTAAATTTGTTTGAACAGCTGAAACATTGTTTGTACCTTATTTCAAAAATATGGACGCATCTATTCAAGAATATGGCCAAGTTTTTGACTAATTTTCAGATCAATCAACCGTGTTATCTCATGTTCTTTAACATTCCAATGCATAAGATTAAAATTTTATCATCTCAATCTTTTGCAGATTTTTAAAAACTTCCTAACTAAGTTATTTAACTTTTAGCGTATTCTAAAATATATGCCAATCACTCTTATTTATGCCGTAAAAATAGCATTAGACTGCTTTGCAAAGAATATTTTGAATTTTGAAATTAGTACGGAAATAAACAATTTTCTGCTTTACTCAAAAGCACTGTCTTAATTTCAAAGGCTAAATCTCAGTAAATGCAGCATTGAAATGTTTGAAAATTTCAAAATGCATGCAAAATTGCTTCTTATAATGGAAGTTGCCTACCGTTCGAAAAGTCTTGACTTACTTTTCTGACGTTACTTGTCAATAGAAGATATATATACCAAATATCTTCGATGATATGATAATTCTGCTGGAATCGGATTTTTGCAAAGATGGACAGGGTCCATTTAGAGGCAACTTACAACCGACATAACAAAAATATGGTTTGAACAAGTTAAAACCATGGACCTTGTTACAAACCTTATTACACCTTGTTCTAATATTTGAGAAAAAAGTTTTTGCTGATAGGTGGATTTTAACAAATGAATCAAAGGGAGGAAACAATTTTCGCGTTTGCATTTAAAGTTGCAAAATAAGAAACATTTCTCATCCAGGGGACATCATTAACTAGTAAATTTAAATTGTCATAACAGCACGCTGTTTACATATACAAGGCGTGGAATTATATTAAATATTAAAGTGAAATAACTCGCATTACTAAAATGACGCTAAAAGCTAATGAGTCAACAAAATTATAATAAAACTATGTCGGAATCTTGCACATCTGTTTCTCTTAAGTAGCTAACCTAATGCGTATGTCACTTTTTAATTCATAAATAAAGCTTGAAAGGCATTTAGGTTCATCTTATTTGAGCAACTTAAAGACAACAAATTTTATGAACAATTTTTCTTGCGTGCTTGAATTAAATTTGAAAAAGTATACTCAAGCCAAAATATTTTAAAAGAAAAGCATAATTCTAAAGAAGAATTAACCTTTACTAAACGGTTTTTATTTTTGGACTGCCTTATCCAAACACACGGAAGCTAAGCGAGAGTTAAGTGAAGTGCTCAAAACATGAGCCGAAGCCGAGTGCTTTTGTACCGCTTTTCTAAACTCGAGCAACATTCCCAAGTGTTTGGAAAAGGCATTTCAAGCAATGAAAACCATTTAGTGAATGTTTTAAACAATAACAACAAGAGAATAGTGTTAACAACAAGAGATTGCTCCTAAAAATACATCACTTTTTTTAAATGTTTTTCCATGTAATAAAGTAAATGTCAACCAAATTATATGTTTAATTTTAAGAACCATGAAGAATCTACTACTCTTCATTTCGCAGCACAGGATTGAAATGTCGAAGTCGTTAAATTATTGCTAGAAAATGATTATTCCATGATAAACTGGGAGACTAAAGATAAACGGACAGCACTGCCGGAAGCTGCCTCACATGACAAGAAAGATGTTTTGGAATGCTTACAGGACAACAAGGCAGCCATTACAAATAATTATGAATTCATTAACTGCTTTAATTTGGCTATTTAATGTGATGAACAAGAGAGTGCTATGATGCTATTGTGTTATAATAGATGGCGTGAGGTTTGAGTAATCTTACTTACCATGTGTTTTCTTCAAAGCAAAAGATATTGCATACCTAAGTTCACATTGCAAAAAAAGTGTTACTTTATCAGTATATTCGTTGAACAAGAATAGCTCTTGCTTATAACGCATTTCTTTTAATAAATTTTAGTAAACTACAATTTAAGAACTTTGATTTTTGTTTTCAGATTTTGCAAAAATCGTTTCACGATCCTGAAGTACAGATTACAAAGTTGGTTTCAGAAAACATGTCAGATGTGGCTTACCAAGCTCTTTGTAACAGCATGATTTCCACAGGTGACCCAGAATGTGATGACTATAAAGTTGAATATGAAGTCATATGTTTACAAGGTAGTGCCAAAAGTATGTACACTCTGTTTTTATTCTCTTCTTCACATCATTCTTAACTGTGCCATTCATTAAAAAGAATAACATCTTCATATAAATATGTTTTATAACTTTTATTATACATGCAGAGTGCAATATGAAGTCTACTAAACGTAAGCCTAGCACACATGGCTGTCAAAGCGATGATGGATAATAAAAGCTACAAATGTCTTTCTCATCCTGTCTGCTTGAAATATCTTAAAGAAAAGTGATGAAATAACACATGGAGGTATTACACACTTGAATTGTTTAGGTATCTTGTGTTTTTCCAATTTTTTTAACTTCTATGCATTTAGCATTCCCAGCTATAAGACAACGCTTTTAAACAAAGATGATAGTTCAACATAAAGCACTCTTAACACGACACAAGGTATTTTTAGCAAAACAAATGGCATTCCTGATTATGAGAAAACATCCCAAGACAACGGTAATCCAGCGCATATACATCTAATCAACAATAAAGTTTCTTACGATGTGTTTTTTATTTCTAGCACTAGATAATGCCTCCTTGACAATGGCAATGGCAGTTCGTTTATTTTTTTCTGGCTATGGTTGCATTAAAGAATTTTGTCAAGTGGGATTAAAAAACATTAATTATTTTCTTCTTTGTTCTTTCTATAAATTATCTTCAGTAATTAAAAAGATACGTAAAGTCTTTTTTTGAGTGAATATTAGCTAAGCCAAATTGATTTTTTTGCCTTTCCCACGTAAGTCATTAGTTCTGTTTTTGGACAAAAATAGTTTTTAGTTTGGTTTTAATAGTTTTTTTCAAAAATGTCAGTTGACATACGTATTAGTGATCTCTGATTTATTACAATTTAATTTTGTTTTTCTATAGTTAGTTCTTTACAAATTGCACTTCTTTATCGACGACATGAACTTTTGGAATGTGTTCTCTACATATACACAGTCCTCTTTCCTCGACGATTTCTCAGTGAAAAGCCTGTTCCATAGCATTGTTTTCTGCACTGCTTTATCTGGTTACACATTTCACCCAATTTCCATACTTTAGTGTGCTGATTTATACAATAAGAAGAATGGAATTCACATTATGCATGGTTTACATATCACTTAAATATCAAAATAATTTTTGGTAACACTGCGGGAAGTGTTGGATTGAGTTGTGTAAGCTTTTTAAATAAATGTTATGACGATTAAAATTTTGTGGTCTGTAAAACCATACTATCTTTATACATGTTGATATAAAAAGTTTTTTGTTTCTGTTCACATCTGTTAAGAAAAAAATTTAAGTAAATTTGCTCTACTCTACAGGTAATGTTCCTACTGTTATTCTTCTTGGCGGCGTTTGCAAAAGCATTTACGGTAATCATGATTGATAGAGAAAGATTCAAAATCTTTGGGCACGAAATTTTAACTGCCATTTTCATGAGGATGGGGACTTTGATTTTGGAGAAAGTTTTGTGGAAAATGTTATCTCTGAGTTTAATACATTGAAAACGCTGCGAATAGTTTTATTTTGTTTTGTTTCTTCTGTTTCTGTCAATCGTCATTATGAATTCGAGTGAATGAATTCAAATCATCATTATGAATTCGAGTCAATCATCATTATGAATTCAATCATCATTATGAGAAACGAGTTCAAGCATAAAATAAGCAAATCAAACCCTTTTATACTGTGAGTAATTGGAATTTTTTGAGAAAGCAAATAGTTCTTATAAATGAGAAGCCTACATAGGAGAATCTTCTTTAACTTTAATTTCAGAAATATCACTTTGATTGAAAATATAGAACAGTCTATATGCACACTGCCTTATAATGATTGAAGAAAAGAGAACAAGAGCAGTCTTCTGAGGTGAATAAACAACAGGGAAGAAAAACAGTTTTACATTTCCCTTTGATATCAACATAGATAGCGAAAGTTAGTGTAGGTAGTTTTAAGAGAAAATTAGAATGCAAAAAGGATATTAACGCTACTTAAAAAAGCTAATACGCATAAAAATAATTTAAATGAAAGCTTAATAAATCGTGCAAGCTTTTTAACTATAGGTTTATTTTACCAAGTCAGAGGTCACTGTTTTTCACTACTAAAATAATAGGATGTCAAGTCTAACGATGGTAGTTGAATGAAAAGATTTTATTTTGGAGGCTTGACATTAAGAGAAACACTATATTAATAGCCTCAATATCAACACCAAATACGTCGGTACAACGTATTTGTGAAAAAAGGATAAAACTTCGATATAAATCTCAACCTTTAGTAACTTTTTTTTCTGTGAATATAAGATAACTTAAATCAATGTATTTTTTGAGGAGTTATTAAAAGAGAACAAAAACAGCCTAAATTTACTTCCCTTTTGTATAAACTAAAAGATAACGTGTATCAGTGTTAGCTTAAGTAATGATCTTATGTAGAGCAATGTCTCTTCTCTAGGCAAAAATGATAATTGATTTAGAAACAAAGATGCACAGCTTTAAAAATGGTCTTGTTTGAATAGCAACAGCTTTTTAAAACCAGCTGCAGATTGGCTGAAACGTCAACACAAAACTTTGGTTACATGATTAGGAAATATATTTATGGGTCTGACCTCATTTCAACAGTTTTAGAAAAAGAATGAAAACAATGACGTATTGGAAATGGAACTTACAATGGTGAAACAGGAACTTAAAAGGATGAAAGAGAAAGTTAAAGTAAAAATAAAGAATGACAAAGACTTTAGTAAAAAGATAAGAGATAAACTTAAAATGATGAAAGACAAATTGATAAAGACAATGATGGGCATTGAGAAAGACAGATCTCAAGAAATCCAAGATCATTACTAGACATCACTTTAGAAATGGGGTGTGTATTAATACATTAAAGTGTACCTGGCTGATTTCTTTGGGAAATGAAATTCTTTTAAAAACCAAATAGATCACCCGCAATAAATAAAGTACTTTAAGTCACCTGTAACTGAGTTAATAATGATATGGGAAATACAATGGCGTAGCCAACTTGTAAATTTGTGACAAAAATTTTAAATTGACGTTATATATGTCGACAGTATATATTAAGAGTATATTTGAATTGTCATCAATGTAATTACTTTTTAACCGATATCAACTTTTTTATCTGTTGGCAAGTAGTTGTCAGTTATTTTCTCGCTTTTAAAACATGATTCTTTACTTTAATCTTCCTAAAGTAAATGGTTTAAACACGGGAGTATCGTTACATGTTTCTAAATGTAGATCGTCCAGGTTGGTATGGTCCTGAGAAGGACTGTTTTTGTTGTTGTTGACTGACGTTTCGACAACTTTAGCGGTAGTCATCTTCAAAGTCAAAAGAATCTGAATATGACTACGTCTAAGGTTGTCGAAACGTCAGTCAACAACAACAAAAACAGTCCTTCTCAGGACTATACCAACCAAGACGATCTACATTTACAAACATGTAATCTTCTTGCCGCAATCTTCAAGACGAAGAAAACGTTTTACTACGACTAAAGGAATTTCAAACCCAGTTAGGCGACCACACTGGCCGACAAAATTAAAGCGGATTACATTTAATATGACGACTTTTTGGGAAAATCGAAGAAAATAATGGCAATAATAAAGAATAGCGACATTTTGTCGAGCTTAAGAATCACTTTTTCAGGGCAAAGATATGGAAGACGAAACCAAACACCAATCGATTTTTTTGGTTAGCGTAGGGACGAAAACGTTTAAGTTGATTCAAAGTTTGGTAGCTATCGTTGTCCTCAAGAGTTACGATGAGCTGGCGCTACTGGTACAGGATGAAACTACCAACCGAAACTATCTGAACCATTCACAGACAATAGTACAGCGTTTAAAATTAAACACTCGATGCCAAAACCAAAGTGAGATCTTTTCAATGTTGATGGCAGAATTAAAGCGTCTAATCAGAGGATCGCGAATTTGGTTGAAATTTGGACGAAATGTTGTAAGATTGATTTGCTTATGGGAAAATTACCATCACATTCAATAGCGATTAATAGCTGAAGCAAAACTAACCTTAAAGTGAAAACTTGACCTTGCTTTTGCTATTAAAACATCCGAGAAGGTCACTTCAAAGGATCATTAACGTAATGGAGGCGGTTGTCTTGCTTCACGTTTCTTGTGTACTTGGGTAAGCCATAAAAACGGAGTGGTTGAGAGCCTTTTAAGAAAATGGTTTTGTATAATGGTTTTGTCAATTGAGCCCTTCCTTTTTAATTTTCTGAGGAATCGTTGTAGTTTAGCTTCTCGGGATAGCGTGGGATTTTCATCAAGCAGTGTGAATTTTGTTGTGTTTAATACGTATATTTCATGCTCATTATAGAATAATCAAATGAAAGCTTTGAAAAAGTGATTTTCTAATACATTTTGAAGGAGTCTGCTAAATATTACTCAAACAAACATGGTTAAATATAGTTTGAAAAACTTACTTTAAAAAGTAAGTACATCTACAGCTTGTTCTGCATAATTCGAATTACAAATATGTATAGCCTGAAACAAGAACAAGTGTGCTTCCTATTACCACTTTTGTAATTAAGAAACAAAAATGTATCCCATTGATTTAAGCTCTATCGGCTTTTTCAGCTTTCTTGTGCAACGAGCTGAGTTCCCGCAGCTGTTGATATGAGGTTTTCGCGAGCAGTATTTACCGTTGTATGGACCACCAAAACCAATGAAAGAATCGGATAAACGACAACCAATTTCCTCATTTCCTATGATACCAAGCCTTACACGAGCGTGAAACTCTCCTGTTGCAATGGCGTTAAAACCTTCTTTATTGCAGTATCGTTGAAGAACGCTGTCTTTGATTAATGACATCCATTGGCTTCGGTTCACACTTGTTTTGCGGTATTCTCCACCAGCGATGACATCATACAACGATTTAGCTTTCATCTTGAAGCTGATGAAGTTTGTACCGTTGAGTTTCATTCCAACACATATCTTGTTAATTTTGGTGCTCCAGTAGGTAGGAAGTTTTGTTTCCAAATCATCCATTCCTGTTTTACCACCTTTAATATTGTAACTACTTTTATTTGTCCAAAACGATGAGTCAAAATCGAATGTTTTCTAAACAAAATTTGTAAAATTAAAGAATGATTTAAATATTCTGTTCAAAGTTAAACATTTCTAACATTTATTTTAAGTTAAATAGTATTTCCTGTCTCCAAAAAATAGGTTAATTGCATTAGACATGAACTGATCTGAGGTATTATAACTTCTACCATACAAAGACAAATCGACCTTCTGTAACTGTTTCAATGTTAACACAGGCGGAAATCACATTGTGGCGATGGCGACACTTACTGTCTCTCCTTCCACAGTAAACTCTTTACTCATTGTAATTTTAAGTTTATGTCGAGAATGTAAAATGAACTAAATGTACAAAAATTCAAAAAAATAAACCTAAAGCGTTAGCAGTTATACTAGTTAATCATATATAACCACATTCATCTTTACGTGCTTGCCGATATGATAAATACCCTAGTCCAGCCTCTATAAATTTATCTTATTTCCTTATTATTGTTATATTGTATGCACATCTGTATATTAATGTTACTGTTTCATATTACTTTTATATAAACTTTGTATTATTTATGTAATAATTCAATTATACTGAAGATAGCAACATGAGATGCCAAAACATGTCTATTATTAAAAACACTTCGTCTATATTTATTGTAGTGCAGTAGTTGTATTTTTGCCTCGAATCAAGTTTCCATTAAAACCAGTGCATAAGTGGTAACGACAAATGTTATCCAATATTAATGATTTCTACGTTTTCATAGAAATCAAGCTTTAGTAAAAATATTAAATTTAAAGATAAGAACCTAATTTTTTAAAAAATGAAGCTTGTTAATGCAACGAACATAGATTTTTATCAATCTGTTAATGCCTTCATTTATCATTAAACACAAAGATTTATGATGTTATATTACTACACATTTTTAAGAAAAAATTTAAACAATTTTAGTTGTACCTTATTCCCATCAATTTTCATCACCAGCGTCCAACCTTCTCCTGAACAACCAGATATGATTCTTTTACAGAAAACTTTGCTGTAGCCAAGTGAAGTGTTTGTCTTTATCAAGTACGCACCATCTTTTGAACTTTTACATTTGTTTAAAATAAATTAACAACACAATTTTGGAATCTGGATTTTGTCGCTAGAATTTATTAATATAATATTTATAACAAGAAACGTTGGCAAACATCAAGTTTTTTCACGCATTTTTGTTTAAGAATAAAAAATCCCGATTGAATATAATGATGGAGAGTTATGTATTATCTATTTAATAAAATATGAAAAACATTTAAGGATGTATTATATTACTAAAATATCATGAACTGTACGTTTTAGATAATGTGTTTTCATAAAAGAAATATTTCAAAAAATGCAACTGCATTAAGAAAATGTTTATTTTTTTAAAAATTAACGTAAAATGAGAACTAATTAAGAACAGGTGGAGCGGATCTGTCGGAAACTGAAAAGGACATCATTTATCATAAAAGTTAGTAGCATGCACAAAATATCAGTAATGACGTCAAGAGTTGGGAGTTATAGTGGAGAGAAAATGAGAGAAGCAAGTTAGATGTGAGACGTATGTGACCAAGACGAAATCCATTGTACAATAATACAGTAACGAACTAACATTTTATTCAGAGAGATTTCTAGTTAATATACCTTTGTAAACCATATTGTAACGTGTTTACTTTGATCGATTGTGAATTAACGAGGAATAAGAATTTGGAGGCACAATTCTTGACAGATCTATGACTTTTATACATCTATCATGGATTATCTAAGGTGTAAAATTTTGAATTCCAAAGCCTCAGAAATGCCATTTTCATCGTTTTAAAGCAATACAAATTTTATTGTAGTCATCGTTTATGCGTAAAAGAAGATTTTGCTAAGTTTTTTTTTAAAAAAAACTTTAAAGTTTACAATACTTGGATGTTATGCTAAGAGTTTAGACCCATTAGCAATATAAAATATAATTTACAATAATGTTAATCCAAAACATTTAAGTTTTTTTGCTAAGTTCTCAAGAATAGACCCCCCTAGAGACTTCAATCACACCTCTATATAATGTGTAAAGCTGCAAATGATGTAAAACAAGGGACGGCTCATATTTTTTGACGATTGTAACAAAATTCGTTTAGTAGAAATCCGCTTTTATCACAATTGGCTATCAGTTGAAGTTGGTAAAGCCAGTCACAATAAGAACAAAATTTAAATGAACTAATTACACAACAGCAATTGCAGTCCCTTATTGGTTGGGCTACCCTTTTTATCCGCCGAGATTATTCCAGATCGCCCAATCATCAGGCAATTGACAATCGAAAACGCTTCCTTAGCTTTCTTGAACCTCATTATTGGTCAAACCAGTCAAGCCAACTCGCCTATCAACCAGTCAGTTAATATAATTCCAGATATGTTAAAATCAACTGATCTGTTTGCCAATGTGAAATTTATATACGTTTTTAGATATAAAACAGAATTTTAACAATGAAATTCGAACTAGTATGAATCGAGAATTTAATGATTACAAAAAATTTGAAAATTAAAAGTGAAACTTACATGTAATTCTTTCATTTAATAGTTCATTGTAATTCTATGAGTTATTGGAGATGGAAACTAAGGAGTCACGTGAGATATGCGCACGCAGATCATGTGTTCAGTCTTTAACGCCGCGGGTGATGTCAACATAAGAAAAAAACCCATAGGTTGAGAAAACAAACCTAATTATTCTCTCAGGCATTAATGGGGGTGGAAGAATCCTTATAGTTTCCTTTTTCAATAGCTCAAAGATTTACAATCAAAATTGAACTTTCAGGTAAGCCTCGTTTAATTTTTAAATTTCAATTTTGTCATTCGGTAAGTCACTAAGGAGTCACGTTACATATTCAAAATAATGGGATCATGAGGGTACGTAATAGTTAAAACTCATAAAAGATGAATCATTATGGATAAAACCGCTCTCGATGAATAACAATAACACGCTATTTTGCTACATTTGGTCCTGTGCAATGGAATGTAACAATGCTTGCACAAAATTGTCTTTACTGTGTAGGGAATTATTATAAAATCTGTTAAAATGGGATGCATTTATCCAGACAGCCGCTTGCAAGATTCTAGTAATATTGGCCTTACTTCATTTTGCTGCAGACGATAAGGCAGCTCTGATGCTGTGTCCCGTGAAGTCAACAATACCAGCCATTTTCAAGATTTTTTTCAAGCCACCTTGATAGAGTGTCAGATGTTACGGATTTATGCGGCTTTTGGTAACTAATATAATCAATAAAGGTTTCAAAGTTGACACAGTCAGGAGTGGCTCCGGGGATAAGCTCCCGGTGTTTACAAAATGCTCTTTACGGCGTGCGCCTCAAACAGCCTCTGTCAACCAAGTCAAACTCCTGGCCTGCTCGTGTGGCTTTACTTCTAAGCCCGGCGGAACTGCTTTCACCAACAGGAGAAGGGCGAAGGCGGGTCTCTGGCGCCTTAAAACCAGATGCTTCGGGAAGGTGGTGGCTCGTTAACCCAGGACGCTAGCCCACCTAGGGGAAGGAAAACCCTGACTCCAAACCGCTGCTGCCTTGCGGTGTACTCGGTCACGGGAAAGGCTAGGAGACGGATACTCCGAAGAAGAAAGCTGCACCTGCTGGGGCCGCTCTACACGTGACAGCTTCTGCACCTGTGGAGTATTGAGCGTGAGTAGGCGAGAGGGTGGAGACAGGCATGCATATCCCATCTTCACCCAAAACATTCACCTGTGCTGGCCAGGCAAGCAGGTTTGCCGCAATCAAGTGATGCAACATCCCTTTTTTGCGCCAGCAATCTCAAGTCCTGTGGCAATGGAGAAATGGTGACGGGAATAGGCAGAGGATGCTGCTGGAAGTTCTTAGCCATAATTCTGCACGCAGGCGGCTGCGAATTGATGGTCGTCCGCCGTAAACCTAGGGCAGATACGGTGCTGTATCCTCTCGCAGTGACAGAGCAGCCCTCTTTAGGGTTAGCACTGCTCTCCCCACATGGGAAAGGGAGATAAAAGGATCCCTAAACAAAGCCTGCCCTACTTGCACCTGGCAGGAACCGCACCTGCCTGGGCATCCAACTAAGCGGTCGTACAACTAAGGATAACAAACAAGAAAGCGCTTAACCATTGGGGCATGGAACGTGAGAACGCTGTTGGACAGGGGAGACAGACCAGAGCGACGCACTGCTCTATTAGCAAGGTTGCTTGGACACTACCAGGTGGACATAGCCGCATTGAGTGAGACCAGACTTGCAGATGAAACTCAACTGGAAGAGGTCGGTGGTGGCTATATCTTCTACTGCATTGGGAAAACGGAAAACGAACCAAGACACTCAGGCGTGAGATTTGCCATACGCACTCAGCTCGCAAGGCGACTAATCAGCTTGCCACATAGCATCAGCGATCGCCTCATTACCCTGCGGCTGAAACTCCAGAAAGACTACCACTGAATAATTCTCAGCGCCTACGTCCCTACAATGACAAACCCAGATGAAGTGAAGGAAGCCTTCTACGAAGAGCTCAACCAGCTACTCTCCTGTGTTGACCGCAGAGACAAACACATCATCCTTGGAGACTTTAACGCACGAGTTGGAGTAGACTACACCATCTGGCCAAACATCCTGGGTCGCCATGGAACTGGCAATTGCAACTCCAATGGCCTGATACTACTATCTCTGTGCGCACAGCACGAGTTAACCATCAATAACACTCTCTTTCAACAAGCTGACAAGCTGAAGAACACATGTATGCACCCTCACTACAAACAGTGGCACATGCTGGACTACGTAATCATCCGCCAGAGGGACCGCCGAGACGTGCACATCACACGCTGCATGCGTGGTGCCGCCTGTAGGTCTGATCACCGCCTGCTACGGAGCAAGATGAACATCCAGCTCACCAGAAAGAACAAATCAACAAGAGAGAAGCCACTGAGGAAGTTGAATGTAGCTCGCATTCCACCCAACAAAGAAGAGCTGCAAGAGAAGCTAGAGGTAGCTCTGGGAAACATTAACATCACGGGCGAGGATATAGAGGAAGACTGGATCACTTTCAAAGAAGCCGTCTACAACACTGCAGCGAGTGTCTTGGATACGTTGAGCGAAAACATCGAACCTGGTTTGACGAGAATGACGCTGAGATCAACAGGCTTAATGACAGGCTCCATAAGGCTCACAGCGACCTTATAGGGGACAAAGCTTGCGAGAAGAAGAAGCAAGACTACCAGCAAGTGAGGCACCATGTGCAACACAAGTTGCGGGAAATGAAGAACGCCTGGTGGGAAAAGAAAGCCGAAGAAATCCAAGTGGCAGCTGTTGCTCACGACTCAAAAAAGCTCCACGTTAGGCTTAGCGCGGTGTACAGTCCAAAATCGTCAGGCTCTACCCCCATCAGGTCTGCAGACCGAACGACACTGCTAACAGACAAAGCTGACATACTTTCACGCTGGGCTGAACACTTCAACAAACTGCTGAATAGAGAGTCACAGATGAACGAAGAAACCACTGAGTCCCTTCCCAAAGAGGAAATCAAAGAGGAAATTGCCGACCAACCCACCAGAGACTAGGTTGCGAAAGCCCTCAAGCAGACAAGGTCTGGAAAAGCTCCTGGTGCTGATGGCATTCCAGCTGACGTCTACAAGAACAGAGGCCAGGCACTCCTGGACAAACTGACATCCCTGTTCCAGGAGGTTTGGAAAGTTGCCAAGGTCCCCCAAGACTTCAAAGATGCTGCCGTCGTGCACATCTATAAGAGGAAAGGCGATAAGACCTCATGTGACAACCATCGAGGCATATCCCTCCTCTGCATCCCAGGCAAGGTTTTGGCCAGAGTAGTCCTTAACAGGCTAATCACAAATGTTGCCGAGGCCATCGTCCCTGACTCTCAGTGTGGTTTCCGGGCAGGTAGGGGAACTACTGACATGGTTTTCGCTATTTGCCAGTTTCAGGAAAAGTGCCGCGAGCAAAACAAGGAACTCCACATGATCTTCGTAGACCTAACGTTAATGGGGAAGGCCTTTGGAGTATCCTGGGAACATTTGGGTGTCCAAAGAAGCTAGTCTCTCTGGTAGCCTCCTTTCACGATGGCATGCAGGCAAGAGTCCAAGAAAGTGGGGAGACATCGGACCCATTTCCTGTGAAGAACGGTGTGAAGCAAGGTTGTGTTCTTTCCCCCACTCTCTTCTCCATCCTGCTCGCAGCGATGCTGCTAGACGCCTTCCTTGACTTCGACAAAGGGGTGTACATTCAGTTCCGTACTGATGGAAAGCTCTTCAACCTCAGAAGACTTCAGGCCAAGACCAAAGTCTACGAGGCACTCCTGCGTGAATTTCTCTTTGCAGATGACTGAGCACTAGCCGCCCACTCTCATGAAGACATCCAGTGCATAATAGACCGCTTCGCAACTGCATGTGATCGCTTTGGGCTGACCATCAGCATGGGTAAGACTGAGACCCTGGTTCAGCTTCCACCATCCCAGACTCGTGACACCTCACCACCACCTCCTAACATCATTAACTACACCAACATCAAGACTGTTGACAAGTTCTGCTACCTTGGCAGCACCATCAGCAACAATGGTTCCCTGGACGCAGACGTAACGCGGCGTATTGCAAAGGCCAGTGCTGCTTTCGGAAAACTAAAGAGACGACTCTGGCAGGAACACGGCATCAAGATCGTCACCAAAATTGCTGTTTACAGGGCTGTGGTCCTGAGTGTTCTGCTGTACTGCTGTGAAACCTGGACCACTTATCGCAGGCACATACAACAGCTGGAACAGTTCCACCAGCGCTGCTTGAGAAAAATCCTCCGCATCAAGTGGCAGGACAAAGTGTCCAATCTTGAAGTCCTTGAAAGGTGTGGACTCTCCAGCATTGAGAGCTTGATTATCAAAGCTCAACTCCGATGGACAGGCCATGTCGTAATGATGGATGACAGCAGAATCCCAAAGATGCTGCTGTATGGTCAACTACAAGACGGGAGCCATGTCCAAGGAAGACCGCTGAGGAGATACAAAAACACCCTTAAAGCCAACATCAAGAGCTGCAACATAGACCCAAACACCTGAGAGGAGTTCGCGGGAGACAGACTGCAGTGGAGGCATCTATGCTCCCAGGGCGTTCGAAACTTCGAAGCCGGTAGAGCAGCAGCCATCAAGGAGAAAAGGGCCCGAAGGAAGCAATGCCCTTCCCCTCTTGTCTCGTACCCCTGCAGCGTTTGCGGACGTTCGTGTGCATCACAAATTGGCCTCCATTCACACATGAAGTCCCACTCTCGCAGATAGACCTGCATGCCTACTCATCTTTCTTTTATTTTTGTGTCGGTTAGTTTAGCAGACTAACTTTTGTTTATAATGTCAGCAAGTTGCTGATTTATTCTCGGACCTATGTCCTCATCTTGATGGAAATCTTTCGAGATTTCAGTTAGCATAGCATTCTATTCGCTTCGAGCAGTTTCGACGCTTCTTTCACCCTCTGTGACCGTGTTGGCCAGGGTGTCCGCTGTTTGCAACAATGTTTCTCAATCATTAACATCGCTTTCGTCCTAAACATCACTTTGTTTTAATGTTTTCGGTCGTTTCTTCATTGATTCATCCGTTTCCATGTGTTTACATATACCACCACAAATTATTGATTTCTTCATTTACTTCATGGATTCTGCAATGCTCAAAAATACATAATTTAAGTTTTGAAGAACTTTTGGCATCTGTTTCTCGTTGATTGGTTCTTTTCGTTATTGTCCAATATGTCAGTTTCTTTGAGAACATACTGTAAAACTTCATCTATATCAGAACCTCTCGCCATTTATAAAATTTATCGATCGGCACTAACGACTAACGTGGAAGACTAAACACTAGATTTGCACGAGCATATCTCACGTAACTCCTTAGTGACTTAGTCCAATGACAAAATACAATTGTAAGCATTAAATTCGATGACTAATTTTGAACTGTAAACATCAGTCGCGTGACTTATTTGATTTACTCTAGATCCGCTCCAGATAAAGACTATTGCGGTAATTCATTATGTTTTTTTTTATCTAAATAATTATTTGCTCTAATGAAACAATGAAAAACAATAAAATCAATGTTTGTCGAGTCATTCCTCTAAAGCTAGTTACACAAAGCTTAACTTTGTTTTTTTGTTTCATGTTTACCAACCGCGACAAAATAAGCGTGAGCGTGGAAATGAGCTTAATGAGCGTGGTAAAAGTAAAAAGGTAGACATAACTTTTTTAACCTTATAATGAGTACAGATTCCTAAAAAGTTATGTGTTAGGCATACTATACCTGTTATCTTTTAATGCTTCTTTGCATGATGAAAAACCTGAAAAATAAATGTTAAGAAGCGTTAGATAAGCATCACTCAAATTTGGGACGACCTTAAACAACACGTAATATGAAATGTAGCCAACTTTAATTTCCTATACTCTTTTTTCTATTGAAGCGTTATTGATTATACTAAAGAGCGCTTTGAATAAAAAAGTCGACCAATCATCAATACTGGTGAGCAACAAATTCATGTCAAAATTAGCTGACAAAAAAATTGGACAATTAAAGTGCTAATAAGAGAAAACAGCAGAGCTGATTGCAAACATTGATATGAGGAAAATAGAGACGGCAAACAAACAAACTAAAGCGATCTAGCAACATGAACTGAATTACATGGGGTCAATATTGAGAAAAGAAAATTAAAAACACCGTGCTCGATCTGAAAATGGAAGAAAGAGGAAACATAGAAGTAATTGCCATTGTTAAGTAACATGAATCAATTATCTACATTTCTAGGTAGACACAAGAGAAAATTATTAGAGTAGAAAGGAATAAAGAACGAGAAGCAAAACTTATTAAAGAAGACTGAGATATAAATTTATTATAACAGCATGAATTTAATAAATACCTTACTGAAAAGAAATTAACTACAAGTTAAAAAGGCTGTAGGAGCAACTTAAGCAAAACCGCCCAAGTTGAAAATTTCGCCATTTAATAAAACTATAGCTGACTGGGTACGATTTAAGAACATATTTGTTAGGCGAGTTAATGCCACGTACAACAAATTTGAAGAAATATTCTGTTTTTTTGCTAGAAATAATTGATAAAAAAGTGCGAGATGAGATCTTATTTTCAGTTTGGTTGGGTGCGTTTTAATTAAAAGTATAAAGAAAATACAGTTAAAATACTTACATTGATTTAAATATTTAGCTTTATAGGAAATGAACTTGCGTTTTTTTTTATTTACTATTTACCATTTTCAGTAAAATTCACGAAAAATGTTTTGACTTTGAATTATTTTTATAAACATAATTATAAAAGATTGGAGTAAAAATACAGCTTTAACTTACCAAACTTAGGTAATGAAGGCACTTTTGTAACATTTCCACTTGCAAATTGGTACACATGACTCCACTTAATTACAAAAGTATTTTCATTTAGACCACGTGTACATTCATCAATGATCAGCATCTTAGGACAGGATTTATCACGTGTAACGTCATTGTTCCACAAGTTCAAATAACTTATTTCACCAACAAATGACATATTTGGATCAAAAACACCATTCACACATTCAAGTTTTTGACCAATAGCAACAACACCACCATCGCGTAATAATGGTAATGAATGATTTAACTTAGTTTTGTTATAAATTTTAAATCCATCAAGATAAATTTTTTTACTCATGTGACCAATTATGATGGCCAGGTGATGCCAAATACCGTCGTTGATTTGTGTTATGTTGAGTTTTCTGTAACGTAACGAAAAGAAGTAAGTTAGGGGAGTAGTATTATTTTCATTAATAAAAAACAGGATGTTATGGAACTTTTTGAAGCGATGAGAAAAAACTATTTTATAATTTACATATTTCAATCTGTTCTTCTTGAACAAAACCAGAATTCAAACCAAGAATTCAATAAAAGATAAGAAAAACGAAACAAAACTTAACATTAATTACAAAGTTCCCAAAACAAAGAACATCGAAATTCTCATATGTAAACTATTTGATAATTATACCACCAAAAATGTCCTGGTTGTTTAAGCACTAATGTCTATTATTATAAAAATGAATGTTTTTTTTTTGTGCAATTCAACATGCTTTGGCATGTTGATTGATAAATGATGCAAATAAATAAGTAAGGTCTTTCGTAATAACGGTGTAATTGTGTTTGGTTGTCCTGAAATATGTTATTCCCAGTTAGTTTTACTAACGCAACTCAAGCAGATTTTGGATCCACTAAGAAAAAAGTAAATTAAATGAAGATATGATCTTCGCACTTTTGCTGGACAATTTAAACAATTGTCTCATGAACCTGAAAAATTCAGGTGACTCAACGGGATTCGAAACCATGACCTCTGGGGTGCCGGTGCAGTGCTCTGCAGAGGTCATGGGTTCGAATCCCGTTGAGTCACCTGAATGTTTCAGGTTCATGAGACAATTGCTTAAATTGTCCAGCAAAAGTGCGAAGATCATATCTTCGTTTAATTTCAAACACCGCACTGCATATAACATTCTTTCAAAAAAGTAAATTGTTACAACTCTCCCTTACAAAATATCCTTGGACTGCATTCTGATAATAAGCCAATTTTTTTCAAAGCCAACAAAAAATTCATCAGGACTATCTTCTATAGCGTAAGAAAACAGGGCCATTCGTTGACTCGAGTTCATTTTTATCCAAAACATCAACGTTATCTCTGACATATTAGGCATCATATTATCCATTAGAATCATGTTCTCAGCATGTGCGTTGGGAAAGAGCAAATCATAAATTTTGTTAAAAGCTAAGAATGAATTGAAATTTTTTATATTTATATAAATATGAAAAAAACCATTGAGTAGCTATAAAAAAACCATCTAAACTTACACGATTGGAGTTCGCATGTTTTGTTGTACTCCTAAACAAACGAAATTAACAATTGAAATGAAGAGAAGGGAATTTGTGTTTAAATAACAAACATCGTTTAATACTTTACAACTAAATATAAAAATACGTATTTGATATAACTAGAAAAATCAGTTTTATCAAAACAATTATTCTTGTATTAACTTAAAACTTATTTTTACCTTGAAAGGGAATTGAGAAAAATGTAATCATAAAATCGATTATGTTTTAAATCTTTTTCATTGCTGTTGTTGAGAACACTATGTAACATTTCACAAAGACTCCAACGTCCCTGACTTAACCTTCTCCTGTGGTTTATAGATCGACAACATGGTTCCTTAACGCAGGAAACGATGCATTCTATCTCATTTTTCACATCAATTTTTTTGTATATATTGCTCCCCAGTCTCTGATCTACAAATGTACAATAATATTTCAAAGATAGTTTTGATAAAAAAAAAACAATTGATTCTAGCTAAATGCAAACTTTTAATATTTTACGACAAACCCTATTTATAGATAGTATTTTCTACATAACGTGTCTTACCTTTGTGTGAAGAATCGAAGCAAAAATTGAAGCACATGATTTGACGAAAATATTCAAAAGAAATAAAAATCGTCAAGAGCATCTTTATACAGTTTTTGAAAAACATGTTGCCTCACATAAACATTGCAGTCAAAAACACAGCTTAGCTAAGTGAATGCTCTGAAATTTGAGTGTGTAGGTGGCGGGTGGTAAGACCCAAGTACGATGCGGAGCATCATCGACACTTGAAAGAATAGCCAACATTTGATTTTAGAGTTTTGGGCACCTTGTTCTTGAACGGAAACAGGCTGAAGAGGCGTTTGGTTGATCGAAAGAAGGATCGTATTTCACAGTGTGGGAAAAGGGCACTACCAAGGGGGTGGATTTTTGTGAGGATTTGGGATGAGTGTAAGCCAGTAAATGGAAGGCCAAAATACTTTATTTGCTTGAGTACATTAAGAACAGGTGATTTGGGTTGAAAGACTTTGTCAAGAAACATGTTTACACAGTGATCAAATATGTGACAGAGAATTGAACGGCAAAAACATTTTATTTGTGATGTTGAATTTAGAAAATATTTTTAACCTATCAGTGGAATTTTTTTATGTTGATTCATTTGTTCCATATTTTTCGCCGTTCAAAGTTGGCAAAATTGCTTCTGATAATGGACGTTGCCTGTCGTTTCGAAAAGTCTTGATTAACTTACTTTTGTGACGTCATGCATGTCACTTGTCAATAGAAGATATAGGTACCAAATATCTTCGATGATATTATAATTCTGCTAGAATCGGAATCTAGCAGTTCCATTTAAAGGCAACTTACAACCGACATAGCAAAAAGATGATTTGAACAAATTAAAACGTTTTCTTCACGGATACATTAAACATTACACCTTGTTCTAATATTTTAGAAATAAGTTTTTGCTGATAAGTGGATTTTAACAAATGAATCAAAGGGAGGAAACAATTTTTGCATTTGCATTTAACGTTGCGAAATAAAAAACATTTCTTATCCAATGGACATCATAAACTACTAAATATAAATTGTCATAACAACACGTTGTTTATGTAAAGAAGGCGTCGAATTATATTACATATTTAAGTGAAATAACTCTCATTACTAAATTGACGCCAATATCTAATGAGATAACAAAGTTATAGTAAATTTAATAAATTATGTCTAAATCTAACACCTCTGTTTCTCTTAAGTAGCTAACTTATTGCGTATGTCACTTTTTAATACATAAATTAAGCTAGAAAGGCACTTAGGTTCATTTTATTTGAGCCACTTAAAGACAAAAATAGAAGCATTCGATCTGACAAAAATTCAAACCACCAAAAATTGTTACGAAAATTTTTAAGCATTTCTTTATACACATCATCTTGCGGAACGTTGACTCGTCTTCAAAATCATTATTTATTTATTACGCTTGTTCCTTAAAGTGCTTTCTTAGAATAACTTAAGTTAAAATTATAATTTTCTTACGTTAAATACATTGTTTATTCTAGCATGATAGGTTCCACATTAAAAATTAAAAGATATGCTCTTAAAACTTTATTTAACGCAGGACTGTTAAACTTAACTTGTGATTAACCGTTCGAAATTATACTGAACAATATTCACTGAGACATAGCCTAAGATAAGATTGCTTGTTTAAAACAAGCAATTAAGTACTTTGATAACAACTGGCTGTTTACGAATTGGCGGAGTCAAGTGATATCGATTATTAAAAGCATCAAAAAAACTTAATTGCGAAAATATCGTCAAAAGCTAATGAAACTCCGAAATTATCACAAATTTATTTAATTTTGTATAAGTCTAGCGCATGTTGCTTTTTAAAACTTTAGTCAGCTACAAAGATATTTGGCTATTCCTTGTTAAACCTGTTACAGGTAAAAAAAATTTATGAATAATTTTAGCTGCGACCTATATCAACTTTGGGGAAGTAATACTGAGGTAAAATTTACTTAAAAATAAATGCATAGTTCTATACAAGTTTGTATAGTTTGTAACAGTTCGTATAATTTTAAAGTTTTCATCAGAATAAGCATTGGCACAGCGAGTGTTGCTTAAAAGATGTTTTCTATATGATTCAGCGATTGGAAAACATCTTTTAAGCAACACTCTGTGCCAATGCTATTCTGATGAAAACTTTAAAATTATTAAAAAATGTCGCTCGTTATTCCAGCTACTTGTCATGGAGTCGGTATTAATTAAATTGACTAATCCTGTCCTTTGCCGACAAAAGGATTACGTGTTTAATCTGTCTCTGTTTTAAGTGTCATCTCTAAAAGTAGGGATGACATTGACCTTTTGTAACATTATAAATATAGCATGATTTGGAGGTTCTCATTTAGCAAACGTTGACACCTGACGAGTAGTCTGCCGAAATGCATAGTGTCTCTTCCTAGCTGTAAATAACGGTTCCTTTGAATTTTTGGGTTAGTGTTCTGGTTAAAACAGTTCTTTTAAGAACAATTATATTGTTATTATCACCATTCACCATGATATTTGCTATTTTGAAATCCATCTTTAAGTTTGTCACCACGACAAAGTCTTTGTTTCATATACAAAAATATTTGTACATGAAGAAAGCAATAGTTGCATTGTATAGGAAAATAAAACACGAGCCGACTTTGCTACAACTAGCATAATTATTTTAGGAAAAATTTATTTCAGCAAATAAAGGTAACGAGCATAAATTCTTTCTGTCAATCAAATATTTATTATTGAGGTTTTCTACAAATGGGTTATATTTAGCTTCTTAGTGTCCATATGACGAAAAAGGTTTCTATGAACTAGAAACAACAACTAATTTAGACTCATAGCTTGTAAATTTTCGTTCTCATCAGATGAATCATTTACAACATTTGCCCATGGACTGGAAACTTTTCCATACTGAAAGAAATAAAAAACAACTTATAAACAGTAAACTCATTTTAGTCTTCAAGTCATGATTGAAAAAAATGTAAAAATTGATTCATTAATGGACAGTATGGAGTATGCATTTTACAGCATAGAAATTAGGATCGAAATATGGGTTGAATGAATACATTATTCATGCAGCACCTACCTGAATATCAGTAAGTTCCTTGTAAAACCGTCTGGCGATCTTTGGACCATTTTCCATTGTTGGTATATGAAGCATCTAAGAAACACATATGTCAAAGAGATGTGTAAAAATATCAGAAAAAAATTAGGTAGAGGGTAGCGTTTAGCCCAAATGAACGTCGAATAAATTGTTTAATGTTTAATCGATTAAGTATTTGAAAATGGCGCAGTTTTGAACAACTGCTGCCTTGCTGTTTTAATTTGAATCATAAACACTGAATGGGACAGACAATATAGCCGTTTACTGTTTGTGGACTATTAGCACCACTTCTACCGTTTATATTAAAATATCATAAGTCGTATATATTCGAGAAAGTAGATTCAATGCAGATATCAGTTTATGAAATATAATATATAATGTTTACGTAAATGAAGACAAGATGGCTGTGATGATGTTGTCGTTTTATTTTTTACGTTTAGTTGTCGTTTAAGCAAAACAATGGCGAATATGGGTACATCAAAGAAAGAACCGCAGCACATTTTGCACATAGAGCATTTCCAGCCTATAGTACCAAAGTGCTTTGGTGCTTTCAACAAATTGACGCTCTTTTAATACTTCGAGTGACTGATTTGAAAGTGCAATTTTTCGAAATTAAACATGTTATATGGCGTGTGTGGGCATCGCGCCTGGGTACGAAGCTGTTACATTTCCAAGTACATCAGAGGCAAGCGCATTGGTTGCATTTTTCTCTTAAAAAACTTACAGCCCATAGAGTGGTTGGTACTTTGAATTAAAAATTGAACAACTTCAACTTATTTTTATTAATCCGGGATTTAAGGGCGGCGGAATATTGATAGTTTGGGTACTATTCATATATGCATGTTTTACTTTACTAGTTTCTATTGAAATCATATGTGTTTACGGATTATAACATATGAATATATGAATATAGCCCCCCCTCCCTAATTATCAATATTCCGCCGCCACTGACAGGATTCACAACTGAAAGACACAGATTCAGTTTTGAAGGTATGTAAACAGTTCCAACAGTAACTATACCTCATCTTTATAAAGTATATCTTTGACAGGACATACGACGCAAGCCGTACCAGCGCCAAATATTTCTTTCACCTAAAAATAAAGTGTGCCATTGGATAAATTTAACAAACAAAAATTTCATTCCGTCATACAATCAACGCATCAACATATTTAAATACTTAAATTTTACATTTTTCTATGCAACATTCTAAATTCAAGGAAAGCACTTGGAGCAGAAAATATTTTTAAAAAGTCATCATACACAAATCATAAAGTGGAAAAACTAAGTTACAGCAATGCAGGAATGTTATGACCCATGGCGTAGCAGGAGAAGATGAGACCCTTATGCGTATTCAAATTGGGGCCAGTATTTGCTAGAGTTATCAAGAATCTCTGCAAAGTTATCTCGATTTGCAAGAAACATAAAAAGATGTTAAGAACTAAAGAGAGAAAATGCAAATGAAAAACAAATACATTAGTGGGAAATTAAGACCAATTTCTCAAAGAACAATTTTAAAACTTAAGTGAAAACAGTAAAACCATAAAAGAAAAAATTTGCAATAATTTCCTACTCTATTCTCCTTGAGACATTTCTTCAATTCTTTCATCGTAAATAGCCTTTCCGATACTTTAAATTCACCCTAAAATTTAACATTTGCATTGCATTCCTTCACTACAAACTCACGAACACAAGAAAATGTTGTCTATCACGTGATTTAAATTTGACATTTTTTGGTAAAGCAAAAAAATCGTTCCCCTTTAGTTATAAATTTTTTCCTCCTTCAACAGAAAAGAAGGGTAATGCGAAAATGGAAACAGTGATAAAAATATTCTCGCATAACATTGCCCAAGTTTCAAAGATTTAAATCCTTGTCGTACCCACTTGTGCGCCAGTTCAATCATCGACTTTCGTGTCACTCCAGGTAATATTAGACCGTCCAAAGGAGGAGAGATCAGTTCATCTTCTAAATAGGTGTTATGGTACATCTTGCATATTTTAAAAAATGACAAAAACTGCTTTAAGATGGCCACTATCAGAGAAACAACACATTAATATGAATCCTGACACAGACTCTATACGCACATGAAAAACATGTGATTTAAACGTGATTTGATCTCCTGAAACTACTATTGTGGCATAAGTATCTCGTCCACATAAACTTTAAAAGACATTTTACTCCTCTTCAATCCCTGTGGGCATGTAGCTCAACAGGAAGAGCGGTGGACTAGTACCCGAAGGTGCGAGTTCAAATCTTGTTCAAGTCACATTTTTCTATTGTGCATATAAACACCGTAAAAACTTGTTCATTAAAAGATATTTCACCCCAACTTTTACTTTTTTTAATTCTGATATGAAGAAGGGATAGAATAATTAATAAAAATAAAGATGTACGTTTTTGACTCATAAAGCCTGTTTAAATTAGACTCATGATCCTTGTTCAACTTCTGCTGCCCTAATACTCAACATGCTTTTAAAAAAAAGCACTAAAAAGCAATGTTATGTTGCACCAAGGCAATTTCTACTGCTTCTTTGACTTTATTCATGGTAGTGTATGTTAGTCTTGAATAGTAATGAAATGATCGATTTTTGTTTAACAACAAAACTTACTGTGTTAAGTTTTTATCACTTTATTGCGTCTTATCATAAGTTTATAAGTTTCATTGTCAGGAGCAAGAAAGCTTACCGCCATTTTCATTTTCAATAAAAAGAAATATATTCATGGTGCCAACTTCAGTTATCTATAGAAAAAAAAGTAAAAAAAAAATTCATCGTGTTTAAGGAAAATAGTATTAATCAGACAACTGCATCAATCAAAAGGCAATCACACGTCAAAACAACGAACAGTGCATAGCAATCATTACGAACGAGATAAAAGGTCGGTTAAATGAAAGATGAGATCAGTGAAAGATGAGGTAAGTGGATGACGAAAGAGAAGATAAAACGAGTTTAACGTTTCGAAACATAACACAAGTATAATTTAAGAATGTGAATTAAGGTCAAGAAAACATACTTGTTCATCTTCACCATAAAGCCAGAGAACCTGCTCACATTTTTTCTTATGTGCTTTGTCTTGGACGTATAACGACGGAGCATAATTTCTAAGACGAATAAAAGCAAATATTTGATACCTTTTTATTTAATTGATTATGATATAGTTTCGAGCAACAACAGCCCAACAAACCAAGGAATGACAAAGCAACATTGATTAACATTCGTTCATACAAACATTGCTCCTTACTCGGCTTTTATACGCTTAAATTCATAAACTCACCAACCCACCAGACTTGTCACAAGTTCACACACTTCATGTTTGTAAATGCAGATCGTCCAGGTTTGACTCTGAAGATGACTACCGCTAAGGTTGTCGAAACGTCAGTCAGCAACAACAAACCAGTCCTTCTCAGGACTATACCAACCTGGACGATCTACATTTACAAACATGTAACGATACTCCCGGGTTCAAACCATTTACTTTTTCACACACTTCATCATCGAACTGACAAGACTTGCGAAACATACTTCTGCAATCTTCCTAAAACTTTCTTACGCCTTGTTTAGACACAAATTTATATGCATGTACATCCCCCAACGCCACAACATTTTGAAATGGTAACGATAAATGAGGCAAAAAACGAAAAATTTGTGAGGCAATTGAGTTAAAAAAAACGTAAATCGACGTACAACTCAAAAAAATTGTAGAGTGAACATATGTGCTTAGAATAAGTAGTTAGTGATTTTAGCTAAGTGTACAACTCCTTCATGAAAATTCGAAAACGACTTTGTTTTAAGAGGACACACAAATTACTAATCATTAGCAACTCTATTGACAAGTTTATTATGCATAAATATACTTGAAATTAATAAGATGTATACACAGTGACTGAGGTATATTTTAAGAATTTCGTCCTTTGTCCGGTTACATTGTGTCAATGTATGTCACGAAACCTTAAGAGTCAAAAAAGGCAGTCGAAAATTTTTATTTAATTTAAAAGTACAACAATTGAACGAACGCTATTATTGTAGCACTTTTCCTTATAGCATTTCATCCCGAAGCTTACATGAAATTATGCGTGAACTGGTTCTTTTGAGGACCTTAACTATCAATTACAACTTGATTCAATAACAAAATACGCAATACAACTCAAGTTTATTACAATTCATATTGAATTACAGCGTTAAAAGCAGCGTGTTCTCCATTGTACGTCACGTCAGGTAAACAAGACCCAGTCACAGCACCTCACCGGCAAACACGAAAAAAGCCAATTTTGAGGACAAACAGTCAAGAAAGATTAAACTTTCCTCATATAAAATATATTGCAAATGTTCTCCAAATAGTTAACTCAATCTAAATACATTATTTCCCAATGGGTGATGTAGGCACTTTAAAGTGACGACATTGAAGATACATTTTTGACACGTGCCAAAAAATTGAAAAACACGTGCCAATATGTTGCAATGAAAACAGTCCATATGACTAACTAATACTAATGAACTAGATCTACTTGCACCGAATTCGAAGTAGCTAGCTGGGTTACTCAAAAAATAGCGAAATCATCAGTGCATGCGCAGTCGACTCAGCTATTTGCCCGAGCTCATAGTCATGGCAATGACAATAAGATCTACCAGCAGCAATTAAAGTAAATACTTCAATAAGTAACATATTATCGGCGAAACGTTTGAGCATGAGCAGTGGACTAGACCAAAAGTGGAGCGTACTTTTAAACATTGTGCTTGTGTAGCTGTGACTCTTTCATTATGATTTGAGGATTTATATCCAACTAGCAGTCATACAAACCCTTCTTTTCACCCACTCATCCTGTTGACTTAAAATACCATATTACTGTCTCTATTTCACAAACCCATCTTGTTGTCTGAATCTTACCCTCCCATTTTGCAGTCTCCACAGCCACCATGCCAAGAACGAACGTATGTCGCATCGGCCATTAAAGTGACTGGATTAAACGAGCCTGTTTTAAAATATGGACCAACAGGAGATAAAATGCAGTATAGCAACGCTTCTTTTGGTTTGTTAACACCAAGTGTTGGCTAAAATAAAAAGTATTCAAGCTTTCAAAAATAGGTAGCAAATGAAAATTTAGGAAATAAAGTTTGACTTAAAAGTAAATTTAGCATAACTATTTTATGTTAAATATACAGGGTGTATGAAAAAAAGTAGACTGTTGGAAAAAGTTATCTTTAACGTTCTCTAGTAAAGCTGGTAATGAAAATTTTAAAAATGCGAGATGTTTTATGATTGAAAAAACTGTTGTTAGAAGTCCTTCAAAACAGGCCTTCTGCTCAAAAATACTCATTGACAAAACAATTTACAGTACCGCTCTCGTATTTGTTAACATAATTTTGCGTATGATACGCGTATGATACGCGCATCGTTCTCATATCATACGCGTATCGTTCTCGTATCATACGCGTATCGTTCTCGTATCATACGCGTATCGTTCTCGTATCATACGCGTATCGTTCTCGTATCATACGCGTATCGTTCTCGCATCATACGCGTATCGTTCTCGTATCATACGGTTATCATTCTCGTATCATACGCGTATCGTTCTCGTATCATACGCGTATCGTATCATACGCGTATCGTATCATACGCGTAATCATACGCGTATCGTTGTATCATACGCGTATGTGAACTAGTAACAATGTTGTGGAACTAGTAACAATGTTGTGTAACAATGTTGTGGAACTAGTAACAATGTTGTGGAACTAGTAAAAATGTTGTGGAACTAGTAACAATGTTGTGGAACTAGTAACAATGTTGTGGAACTAGTAACAATGTTGTGGAACTTGTAACAATGTTGTGGAAGTAGTAACAATGTTGTGGAACTAGTAACAATGTTGTGGAACTAGTAACAATGTTGTGTAACTAGTAAAAATGTTGTGGAACTAGTAACAATGTTGTGGAACTAGTAACAATGTTGTGGAACTAGTAACAATGTTGTGGAACTAGTAACAATGTTGTGGAACTAGTAACAATGTTGTGGAACTAGTAACAATGTTGTGGAACTTGTAACAATGTTGTGGAACTAGTAACAATGTTGTGGAACTAGTAACAATGTTGTGGAACTAGTAACAATGTTGTGAAACTAGTAACAATGTTGTGGAACTAGTAAAAATGTTGTGGAACTAGTAACAATGTTGTGGAACTAGTAACAATGTTAAGTATCAGCGAACAACGATATTGCAAATCAAAGTTTAATTTTTCCACCATTTGGAAATAAATACAATCATTGAAGATCTAAGCGCACGATAAACATGACGACAAAACACAGAAGTAGAAAATCCAGAACATAGAAAAACTAGCTGCTTTTTTCTGTTTAGTTAGACATTGCAATGAGTTCTAATTACCTGACTGCACCCAGTTCCGAAGAGTGGAAACGCCGATTTAGATTTGAAATTATAATTTCAAAAGTAATTAATCGTTTCTCGTTGTTAAAAAAATACTAAGGAAGTTATTGGAAAGATACAGAGCTCCTCGTTTGCGCTAAATAAATGCGCGAAACATGCAGAGAATAAAAACACAACAGTAAAAAAAATAAAACAAATTCCGAAAACGGACATCAACACAAACACAACAGCAAGGGCAATTTTGCGGCGAGTGTTAATAAAAGTAAGCACGCGCAACCTTCCGACATTATCGAGTTACAAAGCAAGTAGACGGCGTTTTACAAAATGTCTCGAGACAAATTATATTAGCAATAAATAGTAGTGTCTTGTGCAACAATAAATGGTGGTTTCTCGTGCAACTAGGGCAAAACAAGCGCTCGTGAGTTATTTTAAAGATTGTACATATTTTTTTAGACCATTTCTTTACTATAAATTTTGACGGCAAAATATAACAAGAAAAACATAACTTACCCCAGTTCCAATAAATGTTGGTCTTATGTACATGGAACAGTTTTCTTCTTTTGGAGCCCAGTCTTTATCGAGTTTTACCAACTCGACCATGCATTTGATAAATTCCTCGCCATCAAAGCTCTTAACATGAATTATCAATTAAACATTTATAGTACAGTAAAGAGTGGAGGTTCCCTAAAATGCAAATCAATCAAACAATGACGTCACGGTAGGTTGGAGCTTTCTTATGCATAACACGTGCGTGGTGTATATAAAAACTGTTAGTGCAGAAGGGTGGAGCTTTCTTGTGCATAACACGTGCGTGGTGTGTATAAAAACTGTTAGTGTAGACAACACTTTGTAGCACAAAGTTCTGAAGTCTTCACAATAACACTATGCCCATAACTTAAGGTTTAATCAATGGGAGCGCTAACTGACATTTTGAAATATATACTTGCATAAAACAGCCACCATGCAGTGCAAGGTACGTACAACAAACATTCAGGCGCCGGTTGCACAAAGCCTGGATAGCCCTTTACAAGTGGATAGCAAAAATTTTGAAACTCGTAAAAAAAGGTGTTTATATTTTTCTAACGACAAAGAAATTTCGTAATCTTCAAAACAATGTTTTATTTCAGTGATTGTTCAGTTGGAATCTTATACTTTTTGCTTTTTAAAAGGTTTTATAAAAGTTTAAATTGCAATCCAAGGTATAACGCTATCCAGGCTTCGTGCAACCGGCCCCAGTACTGTATATTTACTTTCAAAAACATTGACAACTTTCTATAAGACAATAGCGAGATTTAGCAAGAGTACGACTACGAGTACGAAGTCTGACCGTGTAAGGGAATGGCACGAGGAGGTTTGCTGTCGCAGTCGCTTCGTAAAAATGTTGTTTTAGTTGTAACCAACAGAGCAAGCTTTTTACTGTGAAAAACATAACATTTTGAGAAGCTGCAATAGCTCCATTTGTCGATAATATCGCTTAATCTTGACTATTTTACCTTTTATGGATTATATATTTACAGTATTTTGTGGTATTTTACTGTACGTGCGTTTACAATTCACTTTGCGTACGAGATACATGGAAGTTTTAAATGTCATATTTTCGTTTTAAATGTGCATCTGCGTTCAAAAAAGGTTCTGACCTAAAGCCTGGAAGGTCGAAAATAGTATTGTCAAATAATTTCTTACACAATGAAAAAACATATCTACTTTCTTTGCTTTAAAAAACATCGTAGTCGCGACTACAATTTTTTACAAAACATCCACTCAGATTGATGACGACTAGAGTAGTTCTTGTCACAACAATGTTTTCGCGCCAAAATGACGTACTTCGTACACGTAGTCTTCGCGAATGCTCCTTATTGGCAACTTTAGGCGGCATATTTTTTTATCAGTAAGTTAAACTCAAACAATGGCATGTTTTCAAAAGTGGTGAAATTTATATTTTACATTTCATAATACATTTAATACTTACAGGTAGACACAGTCTTTCTGCTGTTCTTTGTAACCTCTTCACATTCTCCATGGGTCGAAATAATCTTATCTGGCCATCATATGAGCCAAAATATGCTTTCATGCCCTCAAAACCCTAAATAGAAAAATATAATATACTTTCATGTGTATGTGAGGAAATGATTTAGTAAAACTGAATATTTTTTATATTTATAAAAATAGGAAGCTTGTGTTATGATGAATCATCATTTTTCAATATAATAAAAATAGGTGCACATTGTGTACATGCATCTGCGCTTGCGTATGATGCGTTGATGTTCGTTGATGTAAAATTAATTATATAGCATTTTATAGTTAAAGAAAACTCGTTGAGTCGCGAATTTCATCTTTGAAATTACTTCAATCGCAACTTTGCGTTAAAATGTGTGTCAGATTTTTAGCTGAAGTAACAACTTACAAGATGTTTTAAGTTGTATTAAGTAGGTTATTAGCTGCTAAAGGAATCTTAAATAAAGAACAACTTCCTCTAACTGCCATTATAAAACATTTGTAAAACACTTAATAAACGTCTACACAAATACGATTAAAACACTGCAATAAGACTAAAATAGTTTAGATATTGTTTTTCTCTAATACATTTGACAACCGATAACAACATTTTAAAGACTGCAGAAAATTTAAGTAAGAAAAAAAAGTTAGCATTGAAGTTCAATAAAAAGAGTTTGTCTATAACTTTTGCGTCCGTTCCGCTAGTAATGCTGTCAAACAAATGGCACTGGAGTTTGACAAATCATCTAACTATAAAACATAGGCATTTGAGAAATATGTCTTTTAAAAAACACGAATATGGTACTTAAATTACTAAACTGTCAACGACGGTACCCTCGGTAAAGTGAATTGATGTGGATGCATGGCTGCTGTTATCGATTCTTTTTACACGTGCAGGAAAGATCCTCGCTATTGAGCCAATAATCAAGTCAGCGAACTGGCGGGAAAAGGCGATAGCAATGTCACTCGTGACTAACGCACGGAGAAGTTTAAGCGCCGCCCTCAGAATCCAGAAAAGTTATTTAGCGCTATTTCCGGTCACGCACCGCATCTGAGTAACTTTAGAGCGGCGCTCGGAGGAAATTTAGAGTTATTAACCTTTACAGTTCAGAACATCCTTGTTCTGCGCGTATGTAACATTATTTTCATGAAGTTACATAATATTTTATCATGAAAATAGATTTTGTATTTTGTCAACTCGCTATTTTCTTGGCGCAATAAAAATATTAAATAAGTACCACTAAAGTACCGCTTTCGCATACGCGACGCATTCAAAATCTTAAAAATTAAATAAGCGCCGCGATGCTAAAGCGAGCATTTACGGTAACAGACGTCATACAATACGTATATCTGCGCATGTGCAGACACAAAAAAAGGTAAATATAATTTTTATACAAAATTACAAATAGAATTAAACAATAATAAATTACGCATAAATTTTACAAGCACAAACAAAAAAACTATAAGCTACATTTATATATTATACATCTCTTAAGGATTTACATTAAAAAACACACTTTAATAAGAAATCAGGTAGGAGCAACCGAATGTCTGAATATCACCACCCCACTCCCAATTAACATTCTAGGGCATGGTTAAGGATGTACCGTCAATAATACATTAGCTGTTCAATGGCAGGGCTAAGGATGTACTGTCAATAATCTATTAACTGTTTAATGGCATGGTTAAGGATGTACTGTCAATAATACATTAACTGTTTAATGGCATGGTTAAGGATGTACCGTCAATAATACATTAACTGTTCGATGGCATGGTTAAGGATGTACTGTCAATAATACCTCAACTGTTCAATGGCATGGTTAAGGATGTACTGTCAATAATACCTCAACTGTTCAATGGCATGGTTAAGGATGTACTGTCAATAATACCTCAACTGTTCAATGGCATGGTTAAGGATGTACTGTCAATAATACCTCAACTGTTCAATGGCATGGTCAAGGATGACCGTCAATAATACATTAACTTGCATCAAAGCTTAGTTGTTTACTTCGATAGTTATGCGTAGTCCACTGTTGTTGAAGATGCGGCATATCTCCTTTTTGATGTTCTCTGTTTCTATTGGTGTGGTGTTTGAAATGGCCAGTCCGTCGTCTGGATAAAGTCATATGTCTGTTGTGATGTGTTGTAGTTGAGACAGGAAGTGGCTTCCTTCAAGTTCGTATGTCTCAGCACCGTTGAAGCTGCCCATTGCGACGTCGAATGTAGAGTTGTTGGTTTTGCCAGAGTTGTTGGTTGTGTATGAGAAATAAATTCTTAGCGTGTATAATGATGTTTGCTTTTGGCGTTTGTGATGTTGTCGTAGGTTGAGGCGAAATCAAGTGCTTTGTTTAGTAGGTCTTAGTTAATGAATGGATAGAAGTCTACGATGTCAAAGGATATGAAGGTGACGTTTTTTGTGTGTTTGATGGATTTCAACCACTGGATCACAGATATACTTATACCCTTTTAAAGAATTTTTTGTAAATAATTAAATTTGTTTGAACAGCTGAAACATTGTTTGTACCTTATTTCAAAAATATGGACGCATCTATTCAAGAATATGGCCAAGTTTTTGACTAATTTTCAGATCAATCAACCGTGTTATCTCATGTTCTTTAACATTCCAATGCATAAGATTAAAATTTTATCATCTCAATCTTTTGCAGATTTTTAAAAACTTCCTAACTAAGTTATTTAACTTTTAGCGTATTCTAAAATATATGCCAATCACTCTTATTTATGCCGTAAAAATAGCATTAGACTGCTTTGCAAAGAATATTTTGAATTTTGAAATTAGTACGGAAATAAACAATTTTCTGCTTTACTCAAAAGCACTGTCTTAATTTCAAAGGCTAAATCTCAGTAAATGCAGCATTGAAATGTTTGAAAATTTCAAAATGCATGCAAAATTGCTTCTTATAATGGAAGTTGCCTACCGTTCGAAAAGTCTTGACTTACTTTTCTGACGTTACTTGTCAATAGAAGATATATATACCAAATATCTTCGATGATATGATAATTCTGCTGGAATCGGATTTTTGCAAAGATGGACAGGGTCCATTTAGAGGCAACTTACAACCGACATAACAAAAATATGGTTTGAACAAGTTAAAACCATGGACCTTGTTACAAACCTTATTACACCTTGTTCTAATATTTGAGAAAAAAGTTTTTGCTGATAGGTGGATTTTAACAAATGAATCAAAGGGAGGAAACAATTTTCGCGTTTGCATTTAAAGTTGCAAAATAAGAAACATTTCTCATCCAGGGGACATCATTAACTAGTAAATTTAAATTGTCATAACAGCACGCTGTTTACATATACAAGGCGTCGATATATGTTAAATATTAAAGTGAAATAACTCGCATTACTAAAATGACGCTAAAAGCTAATGAGTCAACAAAATTATAATAAAACTATGTCGGAATCTTGCACATCTGTTTCTCTTAAGTAGCTAACCTAATGCGTATGTCACTTTTTAATTCATAAATAAAGCTTGAAAGGCATTTAGGTTCATCTTAATTGAGCAACTTAAAGACAACAAATTTTATGAACAATTTTTCTTGCGTGCTTGAATTAAATTTGAAAAAGTATACTCAAGCCAAAATATTTTAAAAGAAAAGCATAATTCTAAAGAAGAATTAACTTTACTAAACGGTTTTTATTTTTGGACTGCCTTATCCAAACACACGGAAGCTAAGCGAGAGTTAAGTGAAGTGCTCAAAACATGAGCCGAAGCCGAGTGCTTTTGTACCACTTTTCTAAACTCGAGCAACATTCCCAAGTGTTTGGAAAAGGCATTTTAAGCAATGAAAACCATTTAGTGAATGTTTTAAACAATAACAACAAGAGAATAGTGTTAACAACAAGAGATTGCTCCTAAAAATACATCACTTTTTTTAAATGTTTTTCCATGTAATAAAGTAAATGTCAACCAAATTATATGTTTAATTTTAAGAACCATGAAGAATCTACTACTCTTCATTTCGCAGCACAGGATTGAAATGTCGAAGTCGTTAAATTATTGCTAGAACATGATTATTCCATGATAAACTGGGAGACTAAAGATAAACGCACAGCACTGCCGGATGCTGCCTCACATGACAAGAAAGATGTTTTGGAATGCTTACAGGACAACAAGGCAGCCATTACAAATAATTATGAATTCATCAACTGCTTTAATTTGGCTATTTAATGTGATGAACAAGAGAGTGCTATGATGCTATTGTGTTATAATAGATGGCGTGAGGTTTGAGTAATCTTACTTACCATGTGTTTTCTTCAAAGCAAAAGATATTGCATACCTAAGTTCACATTGCAAAAAAAGTGTTACTTTATCAGTATATTCGTTGAACAAGAATAGCTCTTGCTTATAACGCATTTCTTTTAATAAATTTCAGTAAACTACAATTTAAGAACTTTGATTTTTGTTTTCAGATTTTGCAAAAATCGTTTCACGATCCTGAAGTACAGATTACAAAGTTGGTTACAGAAAACATGTCAGATGTGGCTTACCAAGCTCTTTGTAACAGCATGATTTCCACAGGTGACCCAGAATGTGATGACTATAAAGTTGAATATGAAGTCATATGTTTACAAGGTAGTGCCAAAAGTATGTACACTCTGTTTTTATTCTCTTCTTCACATCATTCTTAACTGTGCCATTCATTAAAAAGAATAACATCTTCATATAAATATGTTTTATAACTTTTATTATACATGCAGAGTGCAATATGAAGTCTACTAAACGTAAGCCTAGCACACATGGCTGTCAAAGCGATGATGGATAATAAAAGCTACAAATGTCTTTCTCATCCTGTCTGCTTGAAATATCTTAAAGAAAAGTGATGAAATAACACATGGAGGTATTACACACTTGAATTGTTTAGGTATCTTGTGTTTTTCCAATTTTTTTAACTTCTATGCATTTAGCATTCCCAGCTATAAGACAACGCTTTTAAACAAAGATGATAGTTCAACATAAAGCACTCTTAACACGACACAAGGTATTTTTAGCAAAACAAATGGCATTCCTGATTATGAGAAAACATCCCAAGACAACGGTAATCCAGCGCATATACATCTAATCAACAATAAAGTTTCTTACGATGTGTTTTTTATTTCTAGCACTAGATAATGCCTCCTTGACAATGGCAAGGGCAGTTTGTTTATTTTTTTCTGGCTATGGTTGCATTAAAGAATTTTGTCAAGTGGGATTAAAAAACATTGATTATTTTCTTCTTTGTTCTTTCTATAAATTATCTTCAGTAATTAAAAAGATATGTAAAGTCTTTTTTTGAGTGAATATTAGCTAAGCCAAATTGATTTTTTTGCCTTTCCCACGTAAGTCATTAGTTCTGTTTTTGGACAAAAATAGTTTTTAGTTTGGTTTTAATAGTTTTTTTCAAAAATGTCAGTTGACATACGTATTAGTGATCTCTGATTTATTACAATTTAATTTTGTTTTTCTATAGTTAGTTCTTTACAA